ACGTCAAAGTTCAAGTAGATAAATAGGTACCACACCGGCGGGAAGGTAAAGGGCATTTCAGTGCGCTGCTCTGGTTTGCCAGAAGTGGTTTAGTCATGCTGGCCACATGACCTCGAAGCTGTACGCCGGCTCCTTCAGCCAATAAAGCGAGATGAGCGCTGTAGCCCCATCTCAGAGTCGGCCACGACTGGACCTAATGGTCAGGGGTCCCTTTACCTTTATACTGTGGGTTATATCCAACTAAGGCCTCATCTACACTTCTGTTTGCCATGCTGCTTTTATCTGGGAACATCTGCAGAATTGTGCTAAATGGCAATAGGGTTTTCTGCAGAATGCCGATTTCGCAACAAAGTGTGTGTTTTCTGGGGCAAAGTGGCATAGCAAAGGCAAAACCACTCAGATCTGTGCCTGTGGAAAGTGACTAAAATAAATAAGCAATATAAAATGCTTAGCCAAAATCAAGTCCCTTTCATTTGTGAACAATAAGTATCCTCCAGACCTGGAGGAATTTTATTCTATCTTCTATTTATACATGCCAATGTTCTTTAGGTTCAGACTGGGTGGAAATCAGTTTCAAATTCCATATGGCCTTCTTGCACCTATTCTGCCAAAATGGCACCACCTCAAAACATAATAAAAATGCCCAGCAGAATACAAAGAAGAAAAACGCCCATTGTAAATCTTCCAGAAGAGTAGCTGTATTGCAGCAAAAAGAACAAAGTTCTTATAAAAAGACTAACAAACTTATTATTGTAATGCCATAATAAAATGGTTAGTCTTTAATTGTTAGTCACAAGAATCTTTGTTCCAACATAAAATAACTGCGGAAGACGAGTCTTGCAAACTACCAAAGCAACGGAGTTAGGAATCCGCAGCCTGATGGACTTCCAAAAGCTACCCCGAAAAGCCATGCTTTAACTTGATGGGGCAAATTTAAAAAGAGCCAAGCATTCAAAGGATTCAAGGGATGCGGGTGGTGCTGTGGGACACGGGTGACGCTGTGGGCTAAACCACAGAGCCTAGGACTTGCCGATCAGAAGGTTGGCAGTTCGAATCCCCACGACGGGGTGAGCTCCCGTTGCTCGGTTCCAGCTCCTGCCAACCTAGCAGTTCAAAAGCACGTCAAAGTGCAAGTAGATAAATAGGGACCGCTTACTAGCGGGAAGGTAAACGGCGTTTCCGTGTGCTGCTCTGGCTCGCCAGAAGCGGCTTAGTCATGCTGGCCACATGACCCGGAAGCTGTACGCCGGCTCCCTCGGCCAATAAAGCAAGATGAGCGCCGCAACCCCAGAGTCAGCCACGACTGGACCTAATGATCAGGGGTCCCTTTACCTTTTACCTTAAGGATTCAAAGCTGCTTTAAACTGAGTCAGGCGTACCTCAGTGCACCGTTTACATTGACTGGCAGCAGCTCTCCAGAGTTTCAGACTGGGGAAACTCCCCAGCCTTTCTGGAGGTGTCAAGAGTTGAATCTAGGACTTTCTGCATGCAGAACAGATGCCCTCCCCCTGAGCTACAGCCCTGCTCCAACCTTTCCAGAGACCAGGGCATTCTATAAAGTTGATGCTACAGCCGAAAAGCCCCTACCCACATGTAGCACTTCACTTGGCAAACCTGGATAGGACCTTTGATCATGGTGCAATGGAGGGAACATATAGGAACATATGGGAACAGTGTATTACTTCCTTGGCTTCTCACAGCCTTTGATTGCCCTGCTTGGCCTTGCTTTCCACAGGACCTGTGAGCTGTGTGATTGTGACTATGCCACAAACTGCTGTGAACACAACCGTTGGTGCAAATGTCACTCTTCTTTGCACATACAGAACGGAGATGTCGGTATCTGGTTTGTTTATTCAGTGGAGCTTCTACAATCACAATTCGAAGAACCGTCCAATAGTAAGAAGCTTTAAGAAATATATCTATATAGCCATGTATTTAGTTATGCATCGCCTGCTACCAATAGCTTTGAATGCCAATTGCTGTTTTTGATGCAGTTTTAAGTTATTCTAAGGAAGGCCCAAATATTTCTTTAAAAATCGTTTTGACCTCACAGTAGTGGAGTTGTGCCCCTTAATGGGAGGGAGAGTGGGCAGGGCAAGGTGACACAGAGTTCAGTGTGGTGCAAACACACTGGCAGGGGCACCATATGGCTCCATTGGTGCTTTTGCACAATACAAACCTCCCAACTATCTCCCTCCCACCAGTGCGCAGCAGCAACTCTGCTACCAGGAGGTCAGCTAAGTGCTGGCACCCTCCTGTCACTTCTGACCACCAGAGGATAAGATCAAACTGCTCTACTAAATAATTAAGTTTCCCTGGAAGTGGGTACTTCCTTGGGACAGCAGGAGGAGACATAAACTTTGAACAGGGATTGATCCTTTAACCGTCTTGAGCAAAACCCCTATTTTTCTTCATCCTGGCAGCCACAAGATGAAGGAAGCATTTCACATGCGACCAGTAGTAGCCATTGGGGTGGAACGGGGTGGGGTGGGGATAGGCATTGCTTATGTGGCCTCCCAACCTGGGCTGCTCTGGTAACCAAGAGGGAGAAGGGTGGGGCAGCAGGGAAGGTGGGGTGGTGCAGGCCCACATCACGCTGACCTTCCCTCCCTTTTCCTCTCGGTTACTAGGATCAACCTCTGTGCTAGGAAGCCAGGGTAAACAGCTCTGCCCCACCCTGCTTGCTAGCCCATGTGACACAGCAGTGAATCTTGGTTCACAGCAGGGAGCTACTTCCACCTGTCATTTTACATGCCTTTTTTTTTTAATTCCACCCTTAAATATACCCTTAAATAAAATACTTGAAGCTGCTCTGACTTGAGGGCAGTGGCTGCAAACTTGTTGGATTGGGGAACGGTCCTATTGGCTACTTCCCTGTATCTCACTTTACTGGCTACTGATTCTTACCACATTCTGGTTGCAATCCTGCACACACTTCCCTGGAAGTAAACCCCATAGAACTCAGCTGTGCTCATTTCTAAGAAGACATGCCTAGGACTGTGTGGTTAGTTACCAACCAACAGAATTCCATATGCTAGTCCAAGGCAACCACTCATTTCCCTCGTGCTCTCCTATGCCTTCAGGTTGTGTACTTCCATTCAAGGAAGAACAGGGTCTGTTCAACCCAATATACAACCCAATATTTTAATATGATCACCCTGTGAGCACAGCCTGATCATTTTTGCCATGGTCTGCCACAGAATCAGGCCAGACACAGAAAACAATACTCTGAAAGACTTTGAATCTGTGCACAGGGACTCATGCCGTTGTGAACCAGGGGGCAGGATCTTCTGATGTCATGGGATGGAGCCCCATATACAAAACTCTGATAGGCAAGGGGTCAGGAGATGGAACTACAGATGCCCACAAATATGGTGAAAAAAACAGGGTAGGGGAATAGGATTGTTGTGGTGTCATTTGGTGGGATTCCTGTCTCTATTTTCCACTGGAAATAACGGAGCAACCATTATTGGGTTGGGGAGGGGAACAACCTATTTGATGCAAGATTTTCTCTTTCAAAATGCTGAGTGTGTTATGCAATAGCATTTTAAAATAATTCTGCTATGAAATGCCAAGGCTAACATCCAAAGGTTGTAATATGAGGCAGTCCTGTGATTTAAACTTGCTCTCCTGAGGTTTAGATGGAAGGGCTTCAGCTCAGAGGTTGAGTAGGTATGCTGCATGCAGGAAGTTCCAAGTTCAATCCCAGGCAACTCCAAAGAGAGCTAGTTAAAACAACGACCTTGTTTCAAGTCCTGAATAGCAGTTTCCAGTCAGCCTAGACAACAATGAGTTAGAATCTCCATAGAGAGCGAGAAGGTAATAAATTAGATCAGTGGTTCCCAAAGTGGGGTTGGGATTACCTGGGTGCTGGGATTACCTGGCAGGACACTAAGAGCCAAGGGGGTGATAGGAACATGGGCCCCTATGCACACATTGATCACCTATTTATGACCAGGCTAGAACTTAGTACAAAACCCCTCTCTAGCTTTGTATTTAAATTTTACTGTTTTTATCTCTTTCAAAGCTATTTACTTTGGTAATGTTTGTTTGTATTTACGCTTCTGAAATGTCACAAGTAACAAGATAGCCAATTATTGGCAATAGCTACTGATTTTCTTTTAAATTAGCTTCTGTACATCTGCGCTAGGTGATGTTTGTGAATGTTTGTTAAGTAGTTGTCTATAACTATTTTGCTATAATTTCCTTCACCCTTATGCTTTCATGAGTAAAAATGCCTAAAAATATTTTTCATGCGGTATTCTTTGCTGTGCATTCTTTTTTCAACTACAATATTAGATCAGAGTATATATTTATTTGTGTGTGCATCAATCAATCACACACACACACTTGCCTGTAAGTTAGTTTTCCTGGGGAACTACAGCTATTAAAAAGTGTATTTTTTAAAAAACCTGAATATAGCTTATGTTGATGCTGACATCTTCAAATGGTATAGCTACAATTCAATGTTTATTGACTGTGCCATGAAAATATTTAATCAAAAAGGAATGCAATGTGAATGTATTAATTTAATTGAACACTTAATTTGTCCTTTATGACTATTACTGCTACTGTGTTGAATTTTTATTGTGTTATTATCTTTCTTAGTGAGTCATGCAAACCACTATTCTCAATAATGCTTCTTGTAGGGTAGGGACATTGTTGATGATCTTATGGAACAAGCATGGTGGTGGCCCCAAAAGTATGGGAAGCTAGATGGACCAACAGCCTGACTTGGCATAAGGAGCTTCATATGTTCCTCTGCAATACTATAATCCCGCTATGATCCATGACATCATACCTGTAACCTCCCTAATTTAGATGGCATATTATGAAACCTTTCTTTCCAACATGATTGGTTACTTCCTTTGGGAGAAGATCCCAGGTTAAGCTAACAAGCTTCCATGTCTATCTGATGCTTTAGAAATTATGAATGCCTTCATACTTGGACTTGTCCCCTCCCTCTTAATGATAATCAAACACACAGAGGAAGGGCTGTAGGTCAGTAGGCAGAGCATTGGCTTTGCGTTCAAAAAGTCCCAGGGTCAATCCCTAGCATTGCCAGGTAGGACTGGGAATCTCCCCTGCATGGAACCCTGGAGAGCCACGGCTAGTCAGGTGGTATACAGTGGTCTGACCATCTGACCTAGTATAAGGCAGCTTCTGATATTTCAAGAGCAGGGATGGGGAGCATCAGTCCTAAACGTTGCCTTCCACCCATCAATTGCCCTGTTCGGTGCCCTTCTTGTGTGTTTTTGCCTGGCTGGAATATGCTCTTGAACTGTAATAATGTACTTTGCTTTCCTGGATAGATAGAGAGACAGGTGTGGGTAGGTGGTGGTCACATGTAGAAACCTCTGGCTTTCGCTATCACACCTGTTGCTCACACCTGTTGCTCCTCCCAGTTTTGCCTCTGGCCCCACCTATTGCTGACAAGCAGCCCCCATGGCTTTCAGGCTGAAAAATGCCCAACACTCCGGCCCTTCGAGAATGGACTCCAAAACTCCAGTCCCAGGGCTGAACCCATAAACCTGGCAAATCCCTCTTATGTCAGTATCCCTCCAACTCGTTTAGAGCTGCCTCCACTGAAAGAGTGCTCTGTGTTTTGTATGAAAACTCAAAGTCACAACTCATCTCTCAGCCCATTTCTACTCAAATGCAGCTTTCCCCGTGCCACCTTATTGATGAAAAGACCATCGATCATTGTCAAATGATGGTGTACCTAACAGATGCACGGGGAAGGTGTAGCTGGCTTAATAAGGTAAGGCAAACTTCTTCTTCTACAGCATCTCAAGTCCGTCCTTGGATCTGCACCTCTTCAAGTTCTCTCCATCACTTTCTGCTGTTTGCTTCTTGCATCCACATAATCCCTGCTCTTAGTTCATCCACCCATCATCCATCACATTGTCTCCTTGGTCTTTTGCAATTGTAGCGTCTCCATACTAACACTGCTTTGTTCCAGCAGCCTGAGTCACCTCTTGCCACCGATTCTGCATGTCCATTTTAACCACGTCCTTTTCCACTATATTTGTAACTTTTGATCTCTGTTATTAGTTTTTCTATATTTGAATGATATTCCTAAAACTGCATGCTCCATGGCATGTTGTGTTGTTCTTAAGCTGTTCCTGTTTCTCTGTGTCATGGTCCAGTTTTCTGCTCCATAACACATGAGAGGTAATATGCACGTATTTAAACTTTAGCTTTCTAAGGAAATGTTTTTATTTTTCATTATGAAACTGAGTTTTCCAATGGCTGCTCTGTATAACATATTACTTTGATATCTAGCATTGTTATTTATGTTCTTCTATATCCTCTTTTCAGGTTTCTGGAGTTAGGTTTTCTCAAATATAAGCTCTAACCTTCTTCCTCACACAGTTTTAAGACACGGTGATACCCAGGATTAATCTTCATTTTGACACAGCAAGTCCTCATGTGATGGAATCAAAGTTCCCCAGTTGATAATTACCGGTAGTTCAGTTGGGATTTGAATATTAATGTACTTAATTCCAGAACAATCTGCAGTCAAGGACTCAGCTATCCTTGAAATTCGGACTTCTCCAAATTTTGTGATGTGGTTCAGCAACCAAGCAATATGTACAAAAATGTGTATATTGGGGCAACTGGGTATATAAATGCATATATTAGTGAAAATTACGAACAAGCATGCATTCAGGGGAACTGCTTGCAAAAATGTGTATATTAGGAAAAATGTCATTAAAATGCTGGTGATTTCTCATGCTGAGGATTTTGGGGGGGGGAGGTAGGGAATGAACTACTGCAGAAATGTAGAGAACTGAATTTAAGACTGAGAAACTGAAATTGGCAGATTGGCAGATGCTAAAAAGGGAAATAATCCAAACTCACTTCTATATCTTTTAATCATCAAGAGAGGCAGTCGATGTTCTGAACTGGTGCCTGGGCATGGTAGCAGACTGGTGGAGGACTAAGAAACTCAATCCAGAAAAGATGGGACACTGTTGGTGGGTGGTTAACAAAACACTGTTGGTGGTTGGGTTTTTTTGTTTCGTTTTGTTCGTGGGTGGTTCATCTGTACAATTTTGTGGTGTTCAACTTGCCATTGATGGAATTGCACACCTCCTAAAGAGGTAGGCTCATAGCTTGGGGATGCTCTTGGATCCAGAATTGTCACTTGAGCATCAGGTGTCCTTGGTAGGAAAGTGTGTCTTTTTTTCAGGTTCAGGAGATTCACCAACTATGACCATGTTTGGACAGATATAACCTTGCAATAGTTATCCATGTTCTAGTAACCATGATGGGTGTATAGGTGATGGACCATGCAACCAGGAGGACAGTAGTCCCAATGGTCCAATCAGACAGGCAAAGCAGGATCAGCACATTGGAGAAGGCTTTACGAGTGGGTTTTGTGACCATAGCTAGTGATCCTGCAGCTGAGGCAGAACATATGAGTTCTCTCAACAGTGTCCTGGTGCAAGTGCCAAATTTTATAGCCTGGGCTTCACCCCTCACCCCTGGATGGATAATTAAAAGGGCTAGTGCCTTCTTCTGTAGCTACTGGTTTCTTCTAGAATCCTGTGTCTCTCCTGTTCTTGTTAGATTATAGCTCCCATCATCCCTGACCACTGTCTATGCTGCCTGTAGCTGATAGGTCAAACAACATCTGGAGGGTCACATGTTCCCCACCCTTGTTCAAAGCCATAGTGATGTCTTCTCATGGCTTCCCTGATCCTTCAAGGAAACTGTGGAGCAATCATAATAGATAATAACAGAGGTAGCTCTTTGGGTTTCAGGGCAGGTTATGATAACCATGGTTCTACCAGGGAAGACCAAGGAATGGATTTGTCTCCTTAGAAGTGCCATCAGTGTAGGACTCTACCGCTAAGGATTTCTGGTCTGTTTGGCTTATTGCAATTTATTATGTTTAGGGCTGCCCTTGGTCATATTACCCGCATATGTGGTATTTGTTTGTAAACTCTTGTTTATTTATATTGAATACCTTCAGCTGAAACTTAATGATGTTGTACATTGCTGCTTTGGGGTGTATATTTATGTGCGCAAGGGATTCATAGGTAATGCATGTGCAGCTGACCCACTGGACCTGCTCCTTCTCTTTCCTGTTGCAACCTATTTGTTCATCTATCTCTGGCTTGGATGGAGGGCCAGAGAGGGAGCAGTAGATGCTACTGACTGCTTGCTTGCTACTCCTCTACCTGGCATGCAGACAGTTGGTAAAAAAGATGATTAGGAGGAGCAGGTGGTAATGTCAATGCTGAGGTAGACTTATTGTACCTGGGGGTGCCAAGAGACCTCCAAAATTTACATCAGGCATAGTGTGGATCGGGGTTGTGGACTGTGGCTACAGTAGCTGCCATGGTGAGCTCCTGAACTTTGACATTACCAGTACACTTCTCTTTGCAGGAGAGGTTGGCTGCTAGGCATGACAGCTATACCCTACCTCCATGTTGGAGGCAGTTAGTCTCTGATTACCAGTTGCTGGGTATCACCGTGTTGTAGTTAGGTTCTGTTTGTGGGCTTCCCCTGGACATCTGGTTGGCCACCATGAGGACAGAGTGCTGGACCGGATGAGCCCTTGTTCTGATCAGCAGGCTCTTTTTATATTGTTTTTGTACAGAGGAAATACAAACTTACAGTGGAAATGCATTCCGTATATCTCTCAGGAAAGAGTAGAGTTGCTGGCAGAATTAGCTGATGGTCAGATTTTGACCATGTTGAGTTCTCTGTGTAGGTGTCAAGCCTTTATATTATCTCTTTATTGATAACTTTTCTGTGAATCTCTCTCCCAGAAATTTGGTATTGTTTTGCTTTTAAGGAATGTGTTCTCTTTTATCACTGAGAGGCAAGGTGAGGTGACCATCTCAGGAGGCAGGAGGCACAAGAGCAGCAGATCCCATTGTAGATCTTTATCTCCCCCCTCCCATTGTTCCTGATGTAGATCTTCCCTCATACTTTCTTCCCTGACAGGGTGGTGGCACTATTTTGTGGTTCACGTCAGGTGCCAAGGTGTCTTGGGCCGGCCCTGCTGAGAGGGTTGCAAAAAAAATTCTGGCCTCAGTGCAGATCAGGAGAGAGTTTTCTGCTGACTTCTTGAGAGGGAAAAAAATGTATCTGCATTTTAATTGTACTTGTTGTATCTTTTCTTTTTGCACTGAATGTTAATTGATCTGAGGCCATAATAAACAATTCTTCTTCCAGGAGTTAAAACCTTTGGTTTTAGAAGAAAATAAGGCCTTTGGTGGCCAACTACCCTAAAATTATTCACATAGTTTCATTTCAGCTAGGGCTTTTCCAGATTAACCCGTTTAGTGAGCATTTGCCCCGATTGGCTTGCCCAAATCTTATGCAGAGGTAAGATTATATCTTGTCTTTCCTGAGCATTTGTTCAGAATTGTTTGTAAGTAGGTTATATGACAATGAGCATTTGTGCTGATTTGATTTTCGTTCACCCCACACATTTCAGTGCATTTCCCCATCAATTTCCCAACTGCAACACACACACTTAAAAATATTGTGAGTGTGCTAGAGTGACAAAGCTTTTTAATCTACCGTATTTTTCGCCCTATAGGATGCACCGGCCCATAGGACGCACCTATTTTTTTGGGGGGGGAAATAAAGGGGAAAAAATTATTTCCCCCCCAGGCATGGGGCTGGGGCGGGGGAAGCCCGAGCTTCCCCCGACCCCAGCCCCCAGAACATGCAGCTCTCCGCAAGCGTGGGAGCCCAGCGCCGGGCTCCACGGCTTGCGGAGAGCTGTGGAAGCTAGCCTGGCACGTCTGCCGCGCCTGTGCCTGTCCCCGAGCTTTGCAAGGGCTGGGGCAGGGAGAAGCGGGCTTCTCCCCGCTGCCAAGCCTTCCAAACCGACGTCGGAAATCAGCGGGATGGTGTGCTGCGCCCCGCTGTCCCCCGAGTTTGCGGGCTGCGGCGAGGAGAAGACGCGTCTCCCCGCCGTCAGCCTCCAAACCACGTGGGGAGACAGCGGGATGGCGCACTGCGCCTCCCCCGCTGTCCCCGAACTTTGCGGGCGGCGGTGGGGCCCCAGGCTTCAGCGAAAGCCTGCATTTCGCCCCATTAGGTATTGCACCACACGGATTTTCCCCTCTCATTTTTGGAGGGGAAAAGTGTGTCCTATAAGGGGCTGAAAGAAATACAGTACTCTAAATGCTCACATTCTAAAAGTTTTTGGTGTGAGATTGAAGTCATTCCTGCAGAGTGAACATTCTGGGGGCATCCTTATACCATTTTCTAGTCCCCTGTGACTTTTAAATCTTTCCATTTCACTCCTTTTAGTTGGGAAGGAGATGCAATGTTGCATATAATATCCACAAGCAACAGCTTTCAGTTCTGTGACCCTTTTTTTGGGGGGGGGAGATGTTCCTGATTGCAGTAACCAACAGCCCTTGGTAGTTTTAGGGTGCAGCCTGCTTTCAGTCAACGGCAGTGTCTAGATAACATTGATGATAAGCAATAGCCAATCCAGCATCCATTTGCATGAGTGTTTCTTTGAATACAATCAAGCTGATCTGTAAAGTAAATACTGTAGAATGATTTTGCTGCTGGGTGCCAGGGATTGATCATTATAACTTAAACTAGTAGAAATTATTGGTTCATTTTGCTGGCAGCAGAGAGGCAGAAAACTCACTTTATTTTTCATGACGTTTTGCAAAGCAGCTATACTGATCAATGTGACACTGGCAATTGGCAACTCGATGCCAGAATTATGGAAAAGTCCTGTGTCAATGACACAGCTCAGCAACAAAAGCTCAACAACTTTTGCGTCCGGAGTTTCACTTTTTGAAATATGGCAACCCTAAAATATGTGCTGTGATCATGTGGAGCTCAAAAACATGACTCGTTTTACTCTGTTTACTTGAATTTACAACTGTTTTACTCTATTGAAAGATAACATAGAGATACTGGAAGTAAATATTTTTTTAAAATCAGAAAATACAAATGTCTTATTTCATTACTATGACTGTGATTGACTTTAAATTTTGTGCTACAGATTTATTATCGGCAGGGATCCTTTTCGAATTCTTATGGACAGTTTCATGGTCGCATTCGAGCCGCCACCGGACTAGGAAATGCATCAATAACCATCTTAAACATGCAGGCATCGGATTCTGGTATTTATACCTGTGAAGTTTTCAACCCTGAAAACCCAAATACCCAGGGTGAAAAAACAATGTCTGTCAGCGTACTAGGTATTTATTTATTTCTTCTTCTTCTATGTACCATCCCTGTTGATTTTGTACACTATGTTGAATTTCAGACTCAGCGTTAACAGATCCTAACTGGAAAACTCCTGATCAGGGCTCCAGCCAGTTGTTCCCTGGCATTCCAGTCCCCTGGTTTTCATATTTCTTTTCCAGCATTCTAGGTGTATAGCATGTCTAGTTTTTGTTGGACTATTTTGGAGGCAGGGGCAGGTGAGTTCCTCCTATGGTTGCTCAAAGAACGATGTTTACCGGTAATTCTTTGAGTTTCTGGTTAATGCATGTGTTACTTTAAACCACAAGAGGGCACTGTTTGGATAGCAACCTAACCAGCACTTGCTTGTAATCTTTGTTTTGTGTAAGTTAACTTCACCTTTAAAAGCTGAGCCATTTTGTTTGCTGCTCTCTCCCAGCAATATGTCTGTCACATTCTCTCTCTTATCTCCACGTATTCTGTAAATAGCTCCTGCATGAGTAAAGCCTTTGAACTCCAGAAATTTTAAGTCCTTATTCCAATACAATTCATCCAAACTGCAAGGTCTGCTAACACCTTGTAGTTCTGCATACCTTGGGATTTTATGAAGCATGTTGTTACCTCTCACTTGTTTGTCAATTGCCTTGTTTTGGCTCCATGTCTGTTGTCTGATGTAATGAACTGAAACTGAAACCTGTGGCCCTGCAGATGTTGCTGAACTACAACTCCCAGCACCCCTGCATTGTCCATGCTAGCTGGGGCTGATGGAAGCTGATTTAAAGCCTGGGGGCCACATTATTTTCTAGGCAATTTTTTGACTGCAAGAGGCACAGTCAACATGTTAGAACAACATGGTTCTAATGGGTGATCCATGGCTCTTTCACATGCATCTTTCCCCCCCCCCTGAATTTTTAAAACCTGCTCTGCTGACTCTTGATTGTTGCTACACTGTCAGTTTATGTGAGTCTTTTTAAGTGTTTTTACTGGGTGACTTTCATCATAAGCGGCTTTGGATATTTTTTTACAGAGAAGTGCCTTATCATTATTGTTATATATTCTTACATAGGAACTCAGTTCTCTTGAGTGCCAGCCATTATGTTAGGCAAAACAGCACCACCTAAATGGGGAAGAAATGTCAGTTGACTTGAAGGAACAAAGGTTTGCAGAAATAATATAAAAATCTTTAGCGACCCCCCCCTAAAACCCCATCCTAAAAGGTGGTGGTGATAGTAGCCCCCTGAAGCAGTGGAGGGTGGTTTCTCAGGGCAAATGGGGCACTGCCCCACCAATCTCAGTCTTAGCCAACCCTGGGCATCTGTCTAACTTCTTCATTACAGCCTCTCAGTCTCAGTGTTGCTCTTGCAGAACCCATCAAGGGGTTAGTTGGCCCTGCCTGTCTCTGGCTCTGGCTCCTCCTATTGCTTGGGCTTCCTGCCTCCTGCCCTACCAGCTCCATATATGCAAATAAATCTATATTACCGCACAAGTGCTAAAGTAGTTTTTTGGGGGGAAATGCTGTTATATGCATATATATATATATATATATATATATATATATATAGTCCTGTGTTTTTCTTTCGTACTGCTGAATTAATTTATTTTAATCCTAAATGTTTTGGTGATGTAAAACTTATAAAACATCTAATAAGTGATTTTATTTTATTTTAAATAAAGTTTTACTTCTCGCCGATAGTTCTAGAATAACTGGGACAGGGCATATTTATAACGATGCCACAGATTTCAGGGAGAACTTCACTGATCTGCCTTTTCTGCTGTTGTTTTCTAGTCCCCCCCTCCAAGCCTCACTGCAGCTTTGTTCAAGATAAGGAGGCTGAAATTGGCCACGCCATCACCCTTTTCTGCTTTTCTGAAACGGGGATGCCTGATCCTATATACCTCTGGCACAGAGTATCAGGAGATTCAGCCGTACAAGTGACAGGGAACTACAGTAAGTAGTATCTGTGTATTAAGTTATGTCGGCAGGACTGGCCCTCTTAACTTGGTTGTGCAGCAGTGCCTGCAAAGGAACAGCAACAGTTTCCATTGAGATCTGGCATGCATTGCAATATCTTGTGAGATTTTAGAGAGATCTCACTGGAAGCTGGTGCCACTGCTGGTGCCACTTCATCACCAGTGGCAGAGCCTCTGTGCCTTCCGTCGCCTGAGGTGACTGCCTCACCCTGCCTTAGGGGTGGGCTGGCTCTGAACATCAGAAATGGGAGAACTATAGCCTCTAGATGTCGTAGGATTTCAGCTGCCATCATTGGGTCATGCTAGGCAGGGTTGATTTGGGCTAGAGTCCAAGCACATCTGGAGGGCCACACCGTTCCCCATCCCTGATTTAGGCAATATGCAAAGCCTGATGTGGTGGCTTAAAGAGGACACCTGGAAAATACTGGTGGTTGCCCGAACTCTTGAGTAGCTAGAAGCTTTGGGTCATCTGGGATGAATAAAGCAGGGTGGCGCTGTGGTTTAAACCACTGAGCCTAGGGCTTGCCAATCGGAAGGTTGGCGGTTCAAATTCCCGCGATGGGGTGAGCTCCCGTTGCTCGGTCCCAGCTCCTGCCAACCTAGCAGTTTGAAAGCACTCAGTGCAAGTAGATAAATAGGTACCACCCCAGTGGGAAACGGGATTTCCGTGTGCTGCTCTGGTTTCGCCAGAAGCAGCTTAGTCATGCTGGCCACATGACCTGGAAAAACTGTCTGCGGACAAATACCGGCTCCCTCGGCCAGTAAAGCGAGATGAGCGCCGCAACTCCAGAGTCGTTCACGACTCGACTTAACTGTTAGTGGTCCTTTACCTTTACCTTTATTCTACACTGAAAGTAACCCTGATGAATGTCAGTGTCCAGCCTTTGCTTGAAAACCTCAGCAGAAGGACAGCTGTCACCCCTTTATGCAGAAGAGTCCCACTATTTACCTGCTTCAACAGCTAGGCACTCTTGCTTAACATTTTACCTTCCTGAAGTTGAAGCCCACAAAATATTATCCAGTGCCTCATTCACAAGGGAAAGTGCTGCTCCCTCTCTTCTAAATAACAAATCTTTAAATCCCTTTGGCAAGCATGGAAACTTCAAAAACTGCCTCTAATCAAGAGCATTCCATCCAGTCTGGTAGAGAGGGTCCTTCCTCTTATGCAATCTGTCATAGGATACTGAGTCAGTCCTGTTGGCCAGCCTAGATTAGTGCTGCCTACAATGACCGGCAGTGGGTCTCTAGGATTTCAGACAGCGGATAATTCCCTGTCCCACCTGGAGGTGCTGGGGACTGAACAAGTGCCCTTATGCATACAATGCAGGTGCTCTACCACTGAGCTATGAGACACCTTATGAGACAGCTGACATGAATAGGGTGGCCACCCACAGCTCACCCCAAAAGGAAGAAAACCAAAAAGAAGAAGAGAGGGCACCGGTTTGCATAGGATGTGCACATGCTGATTTATATGCATAGATGCAAATTTAGAAAGAATGGCTATAATATAAAAACAAAACAAAACATCTCCCTCTAGTGGGGAAAACTGTGCTGCGGTTCCTTTCATGCCTCCTCTGTCTGTTGTCCAGAAGCTAACTCCCAGTGGGCCACTGCAGGGCCCCTCATGCTCTCCCTTCTTAGGGACTGGACAGCCATCCAAACAAAGCCTGCGAGCCAATCTGTTTCCCTTAAAATCACTCCCACCTGTTATCTGGAATCACTGGGTGACACCAGCTGATAGGCACAGAGGCACGCTTCAATCCTGCTGAGTCCTTCTTTGTCAGTGCATTCCGTGTGGGGGAATGCATTGGCAAATCAGACTCCTGCAGAGAGCTGTATTGAGTGGAGATCTGGTAAGCACAGAGTTCGGTACTGCATGGTGCTTCTTCACCAACAAATTCCCTGCAGACCCTTTTCTCCCAACCCACAGCCCGTGCTGATTTTGACTCACCTATCAGTCACTGGATGTCATCAGGACATCAGTTGATTGACAGGCAGCTGACCCCACCTTGAACTTACTTTCCCCGCTTCTTCCCTTTCCTTTGTGCATCATGCCTCTTGTGCACCTGAGGTTGTGCAGCTGAGGGCAGGGACCTTCTAATTAATGATTTTTGTAAGCTGCTGTAGCAGCCTTTTTGACTGAAGGGGGTAGGGGTGGGAATGTATAAATGTCTTAGGTAAACAAATTAAACCTCAACTTCTCTCTTGTTTTGTTACAGTTCCTCAAAGTGGTCGCTTGGTAATAGGAAACCTGACAAAGTTCGAAGAAGGCTACTACCGTTGCACAGCTATTAACTCTCTTGGAAACAGCACCTGCCATATCGACCTCACTACAAAACGTAAGTTTGCTATAGTTATGTCAACCTTTTCATTCTTTATATTTGGAATAGCTATTCAGTGAAATTCCCAAATATTAGCTGCTCCAGGATGTCTGGGGCTGACACAAGACCTGAGCTGAACAGGTGCTTTGCATGGTTTCAAGAACAACAGAACAGACACGGGAAAAGACACATTTAAAAGATGTGATGCTACAGCCAGGGATGGCAAACTCAGGCATCTGCCAAGAACGCAAATCCCACTGACAAAAGCCTCCTGAACCTGCTGCACTGAACAGGCAGGCTTGCTGAGGGTGGGAGGGGGCCGTGGAGGGTTGCCCAGGGGCCCTCCAAAACCTTGAGCTGCCACTGGTGACACTGTTTCTCTCTGCTGAGCTGCTGAAAGAACATCAATTGCTGCTGACCTGAAAGGAAATGTGGAGTCAGAATCATTTCCAGCTTTTGTTAACCTACTCAAAACGTTCAGTTGCAAAAGAATAATAATAAAAAGGAACCATCCCAACACCAACAAAATTCCAGGCTGTGTTCCAGCTAGCTAGTCATAAACAGCAGGGAAGGTTAAATATGTTCTCCTAACCTTCCTGTTGAGGGGCCAGTGCCAGAAGGTGGTGAGGTGGGGCATCTGCTGGGGTCCCAAGATCAGCAATGGGCCTCTGCCCCAACAGCACCACCTTTCTCGCTTTGCAGGGAGCACACCTGAAGAAGGCGAGCATCGGCTTCTCAGTGTGCATTGGTTCTAATCTGTCAAGTTCATTCCATATATTAAATGAGTTGGCTTCCCTATTCTTTCAGATTCAGAAGGTGGCATTATTGTTGGAGCATTAATTGCAGCAATTCTGGCAGCTGCTCTGATTGGTGTAATTGTTTGGGTTGTAGCCACAAAGGAGAAAGAAAAGAAGAAAAAAGAGAAAGCTGCAATCAGTGAAATGCAGTAAGTTGGGCATGGGGAACCTCAGCTTTGGGGGCTCAGCTTTGCAGCTCTCCAGGTTTCTCTGTCTGGCCCTTGTGGCTCCCCACTGGCCACGCTCCATTCCCACAGGCTCTGCTCCATGCTCTTCTCCAGTTCTTTTCCCTGGCTGAATATTTATTTGAACTGTAGTAATGGTTCCTGATTGCAGATATGTGTACAGAAACCTGACATATTTGTGGTTGGAATGAAGCCCACTATACAAAGGTTCAAAAAGAGTCATAACAACTGCTCCACCCACTGTTATTCTGGCCCCACCCACTACGGGCACACAACTTCCCTGGAACATTGCCCATGAGGGAATATGTCCCTCAGGCTGAAAAGGGTTCCTCACACCTGCTGTAAAAAAAGGTAAAGGTAAAAGACCCCTGGATGGTTAAGTCCAGTCAAAGACGACTATGGGGTTGTGGCGCTCATCTCACTTCATGACGAGGGAGCCAGCGTTTGTCCACAGACAACTTTCCGGGTCATGTGGCCAGCATGACTAAACCGCTTCTGGTGCAACGGAACACCGTGATGGAAGCCAGAGTGCACAGAAATGCCGTTTACCTTCCCACCGCAGCAGAACCTATTTATCTACTTGCACTGGCATCTTTCGAACTGCTAGGTTTGCAGAAGATGGGACTGAACAACGGGAGCAAACTCCGTGGATTCCAATCAGCGAGCCCAAGAGGCTCAGTGGTTTAGACCACAGCGCCACCTGCTGTAGTTGCTGCCTGCATGGGGTAGGTAGGGCATTGCTCTAAGTTTGCTTCAGACATGATGGGCTATATCCGCCGTCTGTCTGCTAGAACAAGGGCTCTTCTGCAAATAGACAGGTGAGTTCTAATGCTGTGCAACAGAGAAATCCAGCACAACAGCTGGGCTAGCAGAAACTTATTGTACAACAGGTTGCTGGTGACTTTATTGCACAATAGGCTTTGCAATCAGCTTTGGCATTCTGTTGCATTACAACATTCTGCTGAAGCAAAACATTTCACTTGCAGTATACACCAAGGTACTATAAGTTAGCACTGTGTTGGACACAACCCTATAATTCTGTCTTCTTATAGCCATTGTAGCTGTGCAGCTTGTTGAGTTGTTATCTTCAAAACCATGAGCCATCTGAAAAATGTGATGGGGTTGGGAATAAAGGAAAAGGGAGAACTATTCCTAGAGACACCTGTGCTTTAATTGATTTGGCTACTGCTTCTACTACTACTATTATTTATTTAATTTCTGTACTGCCCTATACCCGAAGGTCTCAGGGCAGTTCACATAAAATATCAAATACATAAAATCATAGCAAAACCAACAACCAAATAAAAAAAAACCCCAAAGGTACTACAACCTTCTCTGTTTTGCATGAAATTTCTGAATACTAATGCTCTTACTTTGTTGTCTTGCAGGACTGTGGCTCATAAAGAACCACTGAATGTTGCCTACGCTGCTGTGCCCAGCCAAGAAAGTGCCCCAGTGGCAGCTGTTCCACCAAGCAAAGAATCCAATGAGACCAGTGAATACAGCACCCCAGAGGAGCCTGAGGTTGCTGCTATGCCTGAGAATGCGACACAAGAAATGGAGCGCCAACCAGTTGCCTAAATTTTCCTCACAATGTTAAGGGAACCCAACAGCAACTTGTCCAGAAACAAATTTATAAAAAGCACAACCATTTTAACCACTTCCCCAGTGCAGCAAGGGATTCTACATGCAGGTCCTCTTTTGGATCAGGGCCTACATGCACAAAAGGCTGCTCAGCGTGTGACTGCCTTGGCTGTATGTGAACATCCAGGACCCAGAACCATGCATGGCAGCTTTGTCCCCTGGCCTGGGCCTGCATGCACACTGCTGCACAGTATCTATCTCACCTCGCCACCCCCTTCTCCTCCAGCAGGTTAGCAGTACTGGTCATCTTTTCAACTGGTGTGTAGGTTTCAGAATTGGAGCACAGGTCTTTAAGGAGTTAGAGACCCCATGCTTTCAAACAGCTAAAGAAAGGCAGGTACTATTCCTTTAGCACACGTATTGCAAACATTGTACCTATGCTCTTGAGGTCTTGCCTTGGTGCCCACAAAACCTCTGACCTCTCCCTTCACTGTCTTCTTGGTTATGAGGTGGTCAGGGTGGCCACCTTCCCCCCCTCCTCTTGGAAAAGTACAGAGAGCTGAAGGAGGAAGTTGGAAGAGCAGCCCTCTTCTCCACTCTTTCAATCATCTCTATAGTACTTTCCAGGCTCAGATTAATTCTACTGAAGTGCCCAGAGTCTGGAGCCCATAGCACACACTTAAGAATGCAAGTGTACCCATGGCTTAAGGTTGGCAACCCCTACTTTTAAGATATATGTAAAAATCATATTTTTAAAGCACTTACAATACTGTGCCGATACATTATTCTTTCATATTTTCCTTATTAAATGGGATGAGATGTTTTCGGCTCTAAAACAACTGTAGCTCTTCCACTGCTCACAGCTTAAGTTATTACTTAGAATAACTCTATCTGCCAAACTACATTTTTCATCCTACATAATAACTGCACTTACTATGGGGATGATCAAAAGCAGCTTGCATCCAGCTCTGTCTTGCAATGGGCCTTCTCAGTCCCAACTTTCCTAAAAGCAGCTCATTGAGCCTCCTCTTCCAATCAGAGGGAACTTCAGAAACATCCTCCTATGCAACAGCTTCTCTGAGAAAAGCATCCTCATGGAAAGTTATGCATTGACGAGTATTATAATGTATACTTCTGCAGGCAGTTCTCTCTTGCTGTAAGAGTATATTGGACTACAGCATTTACACCCTGTGTACCCATGCATTCATGTATATTTCTTTGTTCCCATTAAAAACTGCTAAGGTTTCATTTTGTATCATAGCTCTCAACCAAATATCCTTTAGAGGAAATGTTGGAGGACAATGAGGACTTGTTTCAAGTTAAGGGTATCTAAACTTAATGTCACCGCTGAATTTGCCTGCATCAATCCCGCCCCAGTTTTATATCTACCCCGCCCCTGCCAAGTGATGATAAATAGGTAAGGTAAAGATTGCTGACATGGTTTCTAAATATTGGATAGAGTTTAACACTGTGGAACATCTAGCTTGGGCTGTCTGATAAAATTATGGTGTTCAATTTGCACCCATGTAAACTTTTGAGGGACGCGGGTGGCGCTGTGGGTTAAACCACAGAGCCTAGGACTTGCCAATCAGAAGGTCGGTGGTTCGAATCCCCATGATGGGGTGAGCTCCCGTTGCTCGGTCCCTGCTGCTGCCAACCTAGCAGTTCGAAAGCACGTCAAAGTGCAAGTAGATAAATAGGTACCACTCCGGTGGGAAGGTAAACGGCGTTTCCGTGTGCTGCTCTGGTTCGCCAGAAGCGGCTTAGCTATGCTGGCCACATGACCCGGAAGCTGTACGCCGGCTCCCTTGGCCAGTAAAGCGAGATGAGCATTGCTACCCCAGAGTCGGTCACGACTGGACCTAATGGTCAGGGGTCCCTTTACCTTTTAAAAAAACTTTTAACATCTGTAACTTCACTGGGATGCTTAATAGCCAAGAAGACAGGATGTCTTTTTCCTTTTATAACATGAATATAATTTTTGGATGAAGTATTTAGCTGTTTAGTTTAATTTTCCTTCTGTCTTGTACTGCAGTCTCTATACTCAAACAAATCTGTATTTTTCCTGTTATTTGCTTTTATAGAATATATTTGTTACCAATGAGTAATACACATTTGCTCTCCCACTCAACTGTGATCAGTGATGTAGGGTTACTCTTTCTATCAGGGTTGTGGGTTTGAGCCCCATGTTGGGCAAAAGATTCCTGCATTGCAGACGGTTGGACTAGATGACCCTTGGGGTCCCTTTCCAATTCTACATGTGTAACAGGATGAGGGGTGAGAAAACTGCAGTGATTCTTTTGTTACTCCAAAACATAATAAACTTTTGTTGAAATCTACAACTCTACATTTCTTTTATAATGAAAGAAACACATCAGACAACCAAATGCCAAAGCTCCACATGCATGGGGTGGGTGTGGGTGGGTTCTCTCTACAAAATTACTTGGAAGTATATTGATGCAATGCTGCTGTTCGTGATTCCAAAATACTGGGAGCAATGATGAGACCAGGGCTTATGAGAAAAAGTGATATATACAAGCTCCAGCTGCATAACTTAAAAAAAGGTATAGGGAAAGGCAGCCTATAACAGAACACAGGAAGCAGCCTTATGCAAGGTCAGGCTATTTATCCATTTAGCAGAGGACTTTCCACAGGAGTGGTCTCTAACTGCTCAAGCACGGGAACCCCAATTTGCAACATGAAAACCCACCTCCAAGGGTCCATGTGTCTGGTGGGCCTGGTGGGCCCAGCAATCAAATGGCCTGGAGTACAGCCAAAGAGGGAAGGGGCAGAGATAAAAGAAACAGCAGTGTCCAAGTGCAGTGCTCTATCACAGGCTCCCCTACTGCTGTGTTCTATATCCATACATGTTGCTAACTCTTCCACAGGCACCAGTTCTCCAGCGTTAAAGGCAGAGGTCTTTCAAAGTACCTTATGCATGAAAAAATTAAAACACTGGAGACACTAGGAACTGAACCTGGGGCGTTCTGAATGCAAAATGTGTGCTCTGAAATGCCTCAGTCCTATTAGCAATGTAGTGCGTTATATAATACTAATAGTTATGAAAAAGTGAGCAAAAAACAACTTTGCATTTTATCAGCCTTGGAACTAAGAGCAGTCATGGCATGTGCCACCAGAGAAAAAATTAACTTAGATTCACATGATAGTTACAGAACAGTCCATCAACCAATACTATCAGAATATGAAACTTTTTGGTAATAATTGGTGTCCCTGTAGCTTAAGATTTCTGTAGGAGTACACTAGGTGTGTCTATTACACCAAAAGCAACAGCCTTTCCCACAGGTTCTATGACATTGGAAGACTTTTCGTGCACCTTATGAAGGACTGAACTGAACTGATCTAAGGAGCAAGTAATATTTTATTATAAGTAGCTTAGGGCATAAGAAACCACTCCAGTTGTATAAAGCTATTTGCATTAAGCCACACAGCTCAACACCACCCTTGGGAAGGGAGAAGAGGAAGAGGAGAAACAAATCCAACTTGGCCAAATGTTCTTACTGCAAAAATTGGGATTTATTTGTTGTCTTTATAGCTGTTACTTAGCAACATTTTAAACAAACATATTTTGTTTAAGAAGCAGCCTACTGAGATTGACAGTTGTCTACACAAGTTCATGGCGCAGTAACCCTTTTAATCTGTTAAGGTGCCACAGCACTTGACTATTTTTGTTTACAGCCTTACTATGTCTATAATCGCTTTAGCTGAATTAAGCCCACTGCCTTCCCACAATGCTCCATTCCTGTAACACTCTCCCTGTACTTGGTATAAGGTTGAACCAACTGGTTTCTGTAAATAAGAATTCCAAGGAGACATACAACAAAGCAAACAACTTTTACACAGTCCTCATTCTCCCTCCCCAAATTTTATTTCGCACAACCATGATGACACTTGAACTGAGTAATAAACTTAGTTAACAAGAACTGCCTTGAGGAAATATTGAATACTGTTCCTTTACAAGCAAATGTATTTAAAAAGATCGTTAGAACCTGTATGGAAAGATAGATTCTTTCTATAGGAAAAGCAGGGCTTTAAATTTTTTTAAAGCAACAATAAACTTAGCAACAAAAAATTATAAAGTTTTGTTTGGCCATGGAAAATGTAGAGAAGTGTAATTGATGCAGTACAATAAAAATTCAAGTTGTGACTGTTAAAGCCAACCTAAAGACAGTGAAAAGTCTTCAGTACTTTCACAAAGAATGGAATTCAATTTGACTGACAGAGCTAGCCTTCAACTAGCCTCCTTAGTATGGAACCCAGGCCACCTTTTGCAACTTGCAATGGAGTCTTGTCTTCTTTGTTCTCAATGTATATGCTTGCTCCGTGAGACACTAGTAGTTTAGCTTCATCCGCTCTCTCTTCATCACAGGCCAAATGGCTGTAAATAAGATGAAAAATTACCAACTATGCTAGAGACACATGACAAGGCAGTAATGAGCTGTCAGCCTAATGTTCCTGTATTTCTTTGTAGGTCCCACCTATTTTAAAAGAAGGCCTGAACTAACCCCTGTCCCCCTGTGAAATCCCATCATTTACATCAAGGTGTTTATGGCTCAATTCAGACACTATGCTAAACCAAGATCATGCTGAACCACCATTCACTATAGTTTGGCACAATATCTGAATTGACATGATAGTTACAGCAAGTGTTCCACCTCTAGATGCTACTGCAGTTAAGAGGATGTCATGAAACTTGTGACAGAAAACAAAAGCAACCGACAGTGTAAACCCAGGTGAATGGGGTTAGGATTATAGTCATAAACAGCTTTAACTCACAGTTAACCTGTTGTTCACCTGGACATACAAGCCATGGTTTGATTTCAAACTACTGTACTGTTACTCAAAATCATAATTTGATGCAAAATCTCAACCAAGGCCAGAACTGCAACAGGGTGCACTTACTTGGAAGTTAAGTAGCTTGGTAGGATTCGTATCTTAAATAAACATACCTAACACCAGGTTCCTCACTACAATCCCACACGCATTTACTAAGGAATCAATGGGACTGAACTTAGTGGGATTTATGTTTGGGATTAGGCTGTGTAAAATCTGTGTGGATCATAGCTGTCAACTTACAGATTTGAAAATAAAGGACCAGGAGCCTCGAAAATAAGGGATCAGCAGCAAAAATAAGGGATTTTAGTCAACCAGCAGCCAAATAAAGCCTCAAGCAGTGGTTCCCACAGTGCAGCAACCCGGCAAAGGGATGCAGAGGGGGAAATCACTACATTAAAATGCTGCACTGGTTGGAGGGTATGCTAAGCAGCACGTCCGGGCTGCCGCCGTCCTGGTGCGAGGAGTTCCATCAGCTCTTCCCCACCTAAGAGAGAGGGAGGGAGGGAGACTCTCGCCCATGCTGCCTGCAAGCCCGGCATGAGGCGGTTGTGGCGCCACGGCAGCCACTGAAGCTCTACCCTTCTGCGTCCCTCCCCATCCCCTCCTCTTCCTCCTCCCTCAGGCCGCCTCCTCAGCTGCCGCCGCCGCCTCCAGCTTCCCCTGGCAGCGCGGCGGAAGTCTCGCAAGAGAAGGGCTGCCTGCCCGCCCGCCCGCCACTGCCCGTCTCCTCATGACGCGCCCCTGAGGGGGAAAAGGGAGATATGGAGACACGGCAGCTCGTGCGCGCTCTCTCTTGAGGCGGAGGACCCCAAGCTGCTGCTTCCCTCCCGAGCCTGGCGAGCATGAAACCTGGGAAATTTAAGGGACATCATCAGTCCGGGATAGCAGCGGGAAACGGCGCTGGGATAAGGGAGTTTCCTGCCAAATAAGGGACGGTTGACAGCTATGGTGTGGATGTTTCTGCACCATACATCTTAGAATACAGCCTCTCTTGTAGAATCTCAAGAAGCTCAGTTTGCATTGTAAAAAAAAAAAAAAAAGTTAGATGAAAACTCTCAACATTAGAGAATAGTTTGTGCTAAGTAAAGAAGCATTAATATCAATGAACTTGAAAAGTATGGTTCAAACAAACTAGGGCAAAATCTACCACAAATACATTAGTTCTTACAGAGCTGTGTTTCCTTCTGAATCCTGTAGATTGGCAGAAGCTTTGTACTTCAAAAGAATTTGTATCATTTTCAGGTTTCCTTTGGATGCTGCTCTGTGTAGTGGAGTAGATGCCAAGTGATCTTTTGCATCTGGATTAGCGCAATTCTCCAACAGCATTAGTGCAATCTATGAGTAGGGAAAGACAAAGGTTACCAAACAGGCTGCTTTGTGCTGAGCAATGAGAAGGTGAGGAAGCAGGTGAAATCTTACCTCCTGCCTATTTTTGGATGCTGCATAATGCAGAGGCGTGCAGCCATTCTGATTGACAGCATTCACCTGAGCACCTTTCCTAATGAGAGTTTTCACAATTTCATCTCGGCCAGCAGATGCAGCAATATGCAGAGGACTCCAGCCCGCCTGAGGAGTGAAAAGAAAACAAGGCATAGAATACTATAAGCTTTACAATTCACAGAAGCAGGGCAGGCAGAAAGACTTCTGTCGTGAGGAAAGTACCCCAGACCTCTGCATCGGTGATAACATGGAAGCTAGGGTTGGCTTATAGGGAGTGCTCAGTTTCCTCTCTAAACAGAAGACTTGCTGGCTCATGGTTTTTAGTCACCAGGGACCGTTAAGACATTGTACAACCAAACTTTCAAGCTCTGTTAGGAAGAAAATCCAATACTACAGAACCGTAGCAAGGGTTCAACAAAATTTATCCCTTATGAAAATACTGCAAAACAGGGATGGGGCACATCTGTACCTCCAGATGCTGTTGGATTACAGCTGATCATTGGCCATGCTGCTTGGGGCTGGAGTCCTAAACATCTGGAAGGCTACAGGTTCCCCATCTCTTCCATAAAATAACTTGCTCAACTTCTGTAAGAACTTACACAATAGTTTACCTGCTTTGGTCATTAAAATGGAATATGGCCACCCACCATTCAACATTTATACAACTGCTATCACATGATATTAAATAGCCAATAAAGAAAAGACCAGGCTCCCTAGTTCTGGTTGCCACCCACCTCCACAAATTAGCTCTTTCTGGAACACCACTTTATTTCTGAGCCTCTTATACAGTGGTACCTCTAGTTACGTACTTAATTCGTTCTGGAGGTCCGTACTTAACCTGAAACTGTTCTTAACCTGAAGCACCACTTTAGCTAATGGGGCCTCCTGCTGCTGCTGTGCCGCCGCTGCACGATTTCTGTTCTCATCCTGAAGCAAAGTTCTTAACCCAAGGTAGTAATTTCTGGGTTAGCGGAGCCTGTAACCTGAAGCGTATGTAACCTGAAGCGTATGTAACCTGAGGTACCACTGTATTGGGCCTTCCACAGCTATACAGCGACATTATGTGACTTTGGATCAGAGAAGAAGTCATGATAATGCTGCAGCTTTCTTTTCAAACCAGCTCAGCCTGCCTTCTTCAGCAGTGAAGAGAAGCAACTATGCCTTCCTTCAGGTGTAGCCGAAGACTGAATGGTTCACCAATTCTAAAAGTTCTTTTTGGAAGCCATACAGTCTTCATTTCAATTTCACATGAGAACTTTTAAACTGAGGAGAAGGGGCTCAGAAATTTACCTCACACAAGGGCAATGCCAGCTCAAAAGGGCCCCAGAATCCCATTTAAAAAAACCCCTCATCTCATGTTGAGAACAGCAGCCAAAGATAACAAACCAGCACACATCCCACCTCTGTGTATCACTAATTCTTCTTTAACACATGAGAGTAGTTGGTAGCAACTCCAGCAGCATTAGGAACTATATCAGCAGTGGGGAATCTTCTTAGCTTCATAGACCAGTTCCTAATTAAGATTTGCCTTGCAGGCCTAGTCTGAGAGGAGGGCATGACCCACCAATCACTTAATGTCACAAATGATGAAGTCAGGACTTTGAAGCATCTGGGAGGCAGCAAAGTGCTAAAGGCAAGTTTTTAACTTCTATCCAAAGGGGAAGAAACTCCCCTGTTAGCAGCACCTTGTTGCCTGCTGCATGTGCAGTCAAGCAGCTGGGTAGGGTGTCTGAGAAAGCTCCCTGCGGGGAACTTTCTCACATAGCCAGACTAAGGGGATGTGGTGTGTGTGAACCACTGAGACCATCCTGGCTGTCTCTTAGTGCAGAGACAGGACATCGCCTGAATTTTCACAGTCACCACTAGCCATGAACCAGCATTGGCAAAACTGGCAGCAACAGCAGCAGACATGTTCTATGCTTAATATAATATTTTATTCTTTTGTTAATTATGCTTTTTAAATGTGAATTTTATACCTGACTTCCTTGAAGTAATGTTTTCTATTGGAACGTTTAAGGTAACATTTTAGTCTTCTGTTAATGATGTTGCTTTGAATGTATATTTTATATCTGACTTTCTTTAGTAATGTTTTGCACCGGATTGTTTTATTTGATGTTTTAATGTGTTGTAAAGTGCTTTTAGCTTCCCCTCCTAAAATATAAAGCAGTATAGAAATGAAATGAAAGATAATAATTGTCAGGGAAGAGTTAGAGGTTTTCAGTTTATCAGAGGGAGAAAGCATTCCCCAAGGGGGGGAGGAGAGCAAGAGGAACAACAGGGAGGGACCGGCTGTTCACAGGAAAGGCAAGGGTTAAGTTCTAGCTCAGATTCGGAGGAGGGGAGATACAAGCCAGCTCTAGCCAGGAGGTTAGAAAAAAGAGCGGGAAAGCAAAGGGAAGGGCGCCTTCGCCATTTTGAGAGTGGCTGGTCATGGAGAAGCAGAGCTCAGAAGGTATCTGAAAGAAGTGACTCTGAGGAATAATAGTTAAGAACTGTTTATAAGAATGTTTCGTTAATACGCAATAAAAAGTTTTATAAAAGAACAAGAAGCGTTTCTGTGGTGATCTGAAGAGGACAACGACCAGTCCTGACAATAATAACAACCTGCTTAGCGCTGGGGTTTTATCATGAAATGAGAATATGGAGCTGCTTTAAAGTGCCTTGCATAAGTGTTGATTAAAGTATCTCATCTTTGTCCATTAAGTGAGTGGGCAGTTTGAGCTGAGCAAACAGCACTTTTGCAAAGGGCTTTAAATCTGCTCATAAAATCCTGCTAACTTGGCTGTGCAATCCTGTTCCCTGGGAAGAGGGAACACAGCTAATGCAAAATTTAACTCCTGTTCTCCTACCCATCAGCTGATGTTTCTAGGGATGTCAGCTAACGGTCAGGTGAGTGGCCTGGGTAAAATGGCCTTGTGGGCAAAGCTGGAACCTCTGGCCTGTGGGATGGAGGTTCCCATCTCTGAACTATATACCTCTGAACTATACATGCAAGATCCTGCCTAAGCACTTTCTGAAAAATAAGTCCAGAACTTACATCATCTTTGTCATTAACATGCACTCCCAGACTTAGTAAAAAGTCGACAATGTCTGCATGCCCAGCTGAACATGCCCAGTGTAGGGCTGTCCTGTTATCCTAAAACACAAAACACAAATAAGCATTAGTACAACCTTGTATTTAAGAACACATCTAGTATCCACAAGGAAGAGGGAACTGCATGAAGGCATGGGAGGCTGGAGGAGAAAGGACAGAGCATTACACCCAGTACAGACAGGCGGCAGATTGCTGAAGGAGTTACAAAGCTCTCCATTCTTCTTCTGTCAGCTCCCAGCAGGCCACAATTATTATGATTATGATTATTTGCAGACTAGTAACTTTTGTGCCTTATTTAGAAAGACGCATTAACAGAACATTCAGAACGAACTAGAACGATGAAAACCAAAAAGGATAGATACAAGCAGCAAGTCATTTAACAGTAAGAACAATAATGGCCAATTTGTATGTTCCAGAGGCCAATTCATTCTCCAGACAGTGTCCCAGGCATTTAGAAGAGCATTCAAACTGCCCCCACCCCAATAGGTGGTCAGGATTCATGTAGCAAGGTCTTCATAGTTACTGGGAATGTGATCTCAGGTATGTCATTATATTTAAAAAATGCATTTAAGTGCAGCATGATGCAACATTGATTTTTGGAATTTTCACCCTGAAATTTAACACCACCCCCATGCTACTTCTAGAGGTGCAGCTATGTTTATTCTTTTTGCAGCTATGGACAAATAACTTTGTGATGCCTTTAAAAATAAACAAACATATTGTGAAATAAGCTTTCAGGGTGCATGGTGTGTATTCAGGTGCGTAGTGTGCTATTTTCCATTGGCAGATATACCGTATTTTCACTCTCCTAATTGGTACGCTTTCCCTCTGCCACCTGAGGAAAAAACCCTTTATGCATCTACTGAAGTGGGCTGAAGTCCAAAAACACCCACATCATAATAAATCAGCTGCCTGCATTTTAAGGTGTCATTCTTCTTCTTTTAAGAAGCTGAAACCCTGGCATCTGGCAATCTTACTGATTTAAACATCTGCCAGGTATGTACTGTATCCCACTCTCAACTGAATTAGTAAACAGAGCCCCCTCTAGTAAGAGTTAGGGGGAAGAGTTTCGGAATCACAGACATATGTGTCTATGTGCTTCACGAGCAGAAATAAACCCTGCTATTCTTTAATGTTAGGAACTGTATTTATCTATGCCATTTATATCAGGATTGGGCAACCTCCAGGTGGCGTGAGACTTCTTTTCCCATCCGTCTTAGCCAACATGGCCAATAATCAGACAGGATAGCAGTTTGAGTGCAACAACATCTAAAATGATAAAGGTTTCCTATCCCTGCTATATTCTAGTTGGAAACTCATTCCCTGATAGCTGATCTTTATGTAGGCAAAACAGCACCTTCTAAGGGAAAAAAGGGATGAATCAGGGAGCTTGAGGAGACCCCAAAGTTTGCAAGAATACAAAAACTAGATTTATTGCACTTTTAAAACTGTTTTGTGAGTCTTTGGGCTGTAATAAAGAATGTGTATGTGGAAAAAAAAGGGACGCGGGTGGCGCTGTGGGTTAAAGCCTCAGCGCCTAGGACTTGCCGATCGAAAGGTCGGCGGTTCGAATCCCCGCGGCGGGGTGCGCTCCCGTTGCTCGGTCCCAGTGCCTGCCAACCTAGCAGTTCGAAAGCACCCCCGGGCGCAAGTAGATAAATAGGGACTGCTTACTAGCGGGAAGGTAAACGGTGTTCCGTGTGCGGCTCTGGCTCGCCAGATGCAGCTTGTCACGCTGGCCACGTGACCCGGAAGTGTCTGCGGACAGCGCTGGCCACCGACCTATAGAGTGAGATGGGCGCACAACCCTAGAGTCTGTCAAGACTGGCCTGTATGGGCAGGGGTACCTTTACCTTTATGTGAAAAACTAGATTTTAAAAAGCTCCTCCCTTTCATCTTTCTGTTTTATTATAAAACAGCAACATATGGTATTGTGAAAAACTTTGTGAGGTTCTTCTGAAAAGCAATATATAACTATCTCAAATATATGTATGTATATATTGCTGGGGGAGGGCCAGGAACACAATCAGGGTACGAACCCCTCAAAATAGCCAGTGAGGACTAAGCATGCTCAGTGGCCACAGAATACTGGCTAGCTGTTGGGAGAGAAAACTAGAATACAGTACACCAATGATGGGAATGTTATGGAGCATCATCAAAGTCAGGGTGCTGAACTGGCTGGTACCCTGAACAGGAGCATGCTACACTAAAACATTGTGTTGACTATTTATTTGTTGGAATTTCTCTACTATTCCACATGTGAAAATACCAGGGTGGTTGGTGCACTTTTCAAGGACTTGAAAACATATACAAAATACAAAACACAGAAAAAACAGTAAAGCACCCTCGATGGCATAGAATAACATGGCTGGGTTTAAGGCCTTTATATTATTATTATTATTATTATTATTATTATTATTATTATTATTATTAAATTCATAAATTTTATACTTCGCTTGATTATTAAAACCTCAAAGCAAATGCTAAAGCACTAAAATCAAGTAAAATCCACAACTTCAAAACATACAAAAATTTAAAATACTAGAACAGATTAGAATTAGCTCAACTTTCTAAGCATCTGTGAAATTTTGTCTGAACAAGGATGCTTTTAGCAGACACTGAAAAGAATACAGTGAAGGCACCTGCTTGAGCTCAATAGGCAGAGACTTCCAAAGTGTAGGCAATGCCACACTAACTAAACGACTGAGTACTGTAACTACAAATGCTGAAAGGGTATTTATGTGGCGCCTGCACTAATGTCAATTATGCGGTACAGTGGGAACATGCGGGGTAAGGCGATATCGTGGGTAAACTGGTCCCAAGTTGTTATATGTTAATAATAACGCCTTGAACCTGTCCCGGGGGCAGATCGGCAACCAGTGCGGATCTCTGCCAAACTTTTATTTCAAGGAACTCAAAAGACGCCCTGCGTTGGTTTCTCCCTCCCCTTTTCAGCTTCACAGCGACCCTGTGAGGTAGACCAAGCTGAGAAAGAGGGGAGGCCCGCCCAGTGAAAGCCTCACAGCCAAGTGGGGATCTGCCGAACCCAGGTTTCCAGTCAGGCACTTTAACCACTACACCACACTGCCTCAGAAGTGGAGCCCTGACAGCCCCCCGACTCACAGACAATTAACCACGCCCCCTCCGGTTGCCATGCCAACCTGGTCCGCGCGCTCCGCCAAGCTCCGGTTGGCGCTCAGCCGCTCCTTCAGCTCCTCCAGCCGCCCCGTGTAAGCCAAGTTACAAACCTCCACGTTGGACACAGACCCGCCCTCCATCCTGGAAGCCAACAGCCCGAAACCGGGCCCTCTCCTTCCCCCACCACAACGCACACACTCTGCCTTCAAAGCCAAGTGGGCGGAGACTCCCTCTCCTCCTTCTGTAGCCAATCCGCAGAGAGGCTTCGGGGACAGACAGCCAATCCTCGCTCTCTTCCCGCCCCCTCCGCCGTCTCCTCCTCCTCCGCGCTCTCTCAACTCCCAGGGTTCAGGGGCGTGCGGGGTTTCTTGTGGGGGGTTTTTTTTTGTGAGCGGCTGCGCACGCGCAGTGGGCGGCCGCGGTGAGGCGACTCTGCAAGGAGGGCCGACGGGAGTTGTAGTACTGGGAGGTGGGAAGGGAGAGTAAACTGGACTCCGGCTTGGCCGACGAGGCCGCTGGACTGCAGCTCCCGGCGTGCTCCGCGGCGGCTGTCGTGGCGGCGGTGTTGTTTTCTGAGGGGCGGAGCAGCGAGAGGCTCTCGGCAACGGCAGGAGGGCGAAGGAGGGAGGAGGAGGAGGAGAGGATGGTGGCGGCGGAGGCGCTGGTTGCTGAAGGCGAAGGATGGAGTCCGGTGAGGGGCTGGCGGGGGAGGGCGCGTGTGAGAGGGGTAGAAGCGACCCTTTCCCACCCCCTGTTTGTGCCTGTGAAGCCCAGATCTCCCCCCTCCCCTGCCTGACCGTTAAGTCCGCCTGCTTGTTTATACCGTGTTAAGCCCAGCTCAGAGTAGACCCACTGGAATTAATGAGCCTAAATTAGCCCGCGCCCATTAGCTTCAATGAGTCTACTCTTGAGTAGAGATTTGATGCAGCTCAGTGGTGCCCAAACGCAACATGTTCGCTGCTTGCTTGGGAATCACATATAAAGAAGGAAAAACTGAAAACTGGTGCTGTTTGCCTGTGCTTCTTTATATCTATCTATATCTGTATGTGCGGGTTGTGTCCAACTAAGTCTTAATCGAGAGTAGATACACTGAAATAAATAAACTCGAGTTATTCCGTGCCCGTTAGCTTCAGTTTGAGTAGGGCTAATATTGGATGTGATTCATAAACATCAGCATGTTCACTATATGAGATTGCTCGGCATCATGCGTGGGGGGGTACTTAAAACTGGGTCGGTCGGTCTGGTTTGTTTATATGTGTGGATTCTATCCACTCGGGATTCTGGTATTTTTAAGCTAATTTGATACATTGTTTGTATTCCATATTTATATCCTGCTTTTCTATTAAAACGAAGTATTAGAGCCAAAAACAAAAAAATAAAAAACCAATAGCAATGGTGGGTGAAGGGAAGAAATGCAAACCGGAACAAAATGTACAGCTGACCTTACTCTGTTGTAAGAATAACTGATCTTCTGGTTTTGACAGAGTATGGAAAGATGGTAGGGCTCCTCACCCTAAATCACAATTGGTTTCACTGGCCCTTTTCCCTGTGTGCTGCTGTTTAAGCTCATAGCTGAGGGGCATGACAAGATTGAAGTGTGTGTGAAAGGAGATAATTCCCTACAGCATCTGATGCTACTGACAAAATCATAATTTATTTTTGAACATTCAGTGTGCTTCACATTGTGTCAGTCAGTACAACAAACCAGCAAGGTTTCTCCTATGAGGATGAGAGAGAGAGAGAGGCTTGCTAAGCCTTCTTGCTAATGAGTCCATGACAGAGGTGCAATTTGAACTAATGACTTTCTGAGTTGTAGCTCAATCTCCTAGTTAGCATCAAGAACTTACAATAGTCGATACCTTCCTTTTATTGGAGGGGAAGGAATTCCACTGAGTGCATGCCACCACAGAAATATCCTACCTTGGGTTGTTGCAGCTAATAGTGGTACCAATAAGAGAGCCTCCTTTGATATCTTTACAGATAGGCACATCTGTATGGTAGCAGCATTTCCTCAGATATCCCAAGTTATAGAGGGCTTAATATATCTGCAAGAGTACCTTAAATTTGTCTTGGTAACAAATTGACAGCAAGTACAGCTCCTTCCTGATTGATTAAATATGGTCATGGTAATAATAATAATAATAGGGACGCGGGTGGCGCTGTGGGTAAAAGCCTCAGCGCCTAGGGCTTGCCGATCGAAAGGTCAGCGGTTCAAATCCCCGCGGCGGGGTGCGCTCCCGTCGTTCGGTCCCAGCGCCTGCCAACCTAGCAGTTCGAAAGCACCCCTGGGTGCAAGTAGATAAATAGGGACCGCTTACAAGCGGGAAGGTAAACGGTGTTTCCGTGTGCGGCTCTGGCTCGCCAGAGCAGCGATGTCACGCTGGCCACGTGACCCGGAAGTGTCTCCGGACAGCGCTGGCCCCCGGCCTCTTGAGTGAGATGGGCGCACAATCCTAGAGTCTGGCAAGACTGGCCCGTACGGGCAGGGGTACCTTTACCTTTTAACAACAACAAACAACAACAACAACAACAATTTTTATTTATACCCCGCCCTCCCCAGCCAAGACCAGGCTCAGGGTGGCTAACAAGCAATAATAAAAATAAGCTGAATGAATACAACTTAAAAACAAAATTAAAATATAACATTAAAATATTGAAACATGGTAGGCTGCCCCATTCAGCTGCTGCCTCATTGTGCAGTAGTTGCAGCTCCCAAACTTTCTTTTAAAGGCAATCCTGCACAGGGTACTTAAATTAAACCAGTCTTGAGATTACCAATGCATTGGTCACTGTAGTCAGAACCTTCTTTTTTGGGAACCATCAATTGTATCAAAAGCATCATAGAGATAAGGTTTGCTGTGTTCCTGGACTAGGCCGAAACCCAAACTGGAACAGATCTACATAATTTGTTCCCTCCGAGAGTGCCCCACTTAAAAGACCACCACCTGCTTTCTGGAATAAAACACAATCCTAACCATGTCTACTTAGAAGTAAATCCTGTTGAATTCAATGGGGCTGATTTCCAGGTAAGTGCAGTTAGGGCTGCAACCTAAGCGAAGTTTATGAGCAATCCCCAGGGGCAGATGCATATATTATACATTGCAGGAATCTAATCTGGAGTTTACTAGAATGTGGATGATTGGCCAGGCTCATTTTGTTACAGCAGCCTTGACTAGTGAAAGGTGCCATGTGCCACTGAGGCCACTTGAGCCTCCAGTGACAAAGGACTGCAGTGTTGTTTACTGCTATTAAAATGAGTTAGAATTTTTTATGATCACCAGCCCAAAATGCAAGCATAACAATGCATTCTTTTTACCATTTATCTTGAATCTTTCAAAAAGTGATCAGTGGTATTGACCCACCATCACAAACTGTTGTTATTTTCCCCAGCCCATGTAATAACAACTGACTACTGTATATGTGTAGATACATGAGCTGACATATGTCTAGTTGAATAAGTTCTGTATGAAGTTGCAAATGAACTTGCAAATTAGAAGGCAGGGGTCCAACTCCAAAAGACAAGTTGAGGCTGCTTTCCACCACTTATTCCTGCAGTAATCTATGTCCAGTAAAAAGAGCTGTAGAGTTACTTTTGTAAGCCTTAAGACTCCCACATCTAGGCTCCTCAGCCACCTCCTTGCCATGCTGATGTCATTCTAACCCACCCTGCGTGTTCCTGGCTGCAAGCCTCTTTGTGGTTTCTGTGCCTGAAGCGTTAAGTATAATTGTGGGAAATTAACTCTAGTTTCCCCACCGTGTCTAGTACTTGAGCTGCTGAGTCCATTTGCAAATCCTGAGGCTTAGATAGTGTAGGGTGGGATTGGTTACTAACATAATCCAGTGGTGTCCCTATACAACAGTCTTGTTGCATGTTACAGCATTGTCACAACTCTTACCTTACAAAAGAAAACATCATAGTTCTGCATAACTTGTAGTGCAAATGGTTCTGTTCAGTTGATTTCTATATGTATTAGCCCTATTCTAAGATTTTGAGGTGGTTTGCTTTAATTTTATGATCACAGCAACTCAGAAATTGTTTAAGTTAAGAGATGGTGACTTGCCAAATTTGTAAGATCTATGACTAAATGGGGAAGCATAAATTCAACAAAGTTTGCTTTGTTTTAACCTAGTTTTGCAGTGAAAGCAAAGTTGCTTGCCTACAACTGGAGACAGAAATGTTACAGCATGACACATAATGCAGACAAGACATACAAAACTTTTATATCTGTCAAAAACTCACTCTGACTCTTATTTTTATTTCCAAACTTTTAAAAAGGGCTATCCTTGTAGTAAGGACTTGGAAATGAGAGAAGCCAAACCTTGCCAGAGTTTCAAACGCGAAACGATGAATTAAGAAAATCTATTTAAATGTCTTTTAAATGTCACAGTAGACTTTGTATTAAAATAACTGCACAGTCTTAAGTTTGAAACCTAAATGGTTAAAAATTTCCAGTTCCTTTTGGAAAAATAAACAGGACTCGGGCAGTGCATGCAAAGAGTGTCATGCAGATGCTTTTACGTGGGAAATTAAAGTATCAAAGGTTAGTTCATGCCTGCCTTTATGGCATTGGTGAATGATCAGTCTGCGCTGCAGCATATTTTTATGCATAGGAAAAGTCAATTAAAATGTCTGGTTAATTTTTGCTTTATTTATTTGCTTATTTTTCCTCATTTGTATCCTGCATCTTCCAAGTTATAACTAATCAAGTTATTAATTGCAAGCTCTGTGTCAACCCCCTCTCGTTTTTGTTTTACTCAAAAAGTAATTATTGAAACTTGAGATTTTCACTATACGTCAACGAACTATGTTTTATCTTCTCAAATATTTTTATCACACCTTTTCATCACTTGATATATCCACTTTAAGTGGATTATCCCTCAGAAATAACAAGAATGAGAATCCTTGATGTTACTAAGAGCTGAATCAGGTTTTTAAGAATCACATCACTACATACACATACTTCTTTTGCTTGAAAACAAATAGTATTTCATGACACTAAGCTTAGCAAAGGAAGTTGCTGAAAATGAAAGACACAGAAGTCTGCCTTTTAAACCATATCATGAACTGCAGAATTGCTGACATTAGGCTGCTTTGACCTTTTAAACATTACACTTGCTTGTTTGAAGGAGCTCACAGCAGCAATTTAGTGTTACATCTTATTCTTTTCTGTTTTAGTACAGTTCGTTCTCGTTGAGGTTGTAGATAGTAGTAGCAGTAATTTCAGTATGGTGTTACATACTGCTTTTGGCCGTGACTTGTTATTGCTTGTTTAAAGGAGCTCACAGCAGCAATTTAGTGTTACATCTCATTCTTTTCTTATTTTAGTATAGTTCGTTCTATTTGAAGTTGTGGTTAGTAGTAGCAGTAATTTCAATATGATGTTATGTGCTGCTTTTCGTTGAGACTTATTGTCATAATAAAAAAGAATGCAAGTTACATTTTTTAAAAGTGCAAAAGGGGGGGAAAGCAATGTGATGCAGAACCAGAACTCTGTCTTCACTAAAACTAAATATATTGGGATATATACAACATTACTCATACTTGAAGAAAATCAATTGAAATAATTGAGTGCAGTCTATTGCTGAGTTGTCTATCAACCATTATTATTAGATAAGCCTTTAGCAGTTTGACTTTCACAGTAAAATCCTTATTATGTCCCTCTTAAATGAACATAGTTTTATATTTGATTGGCCAAAATCTAAGCCAGTGTTAAGAGTAAGCTCATTTTTTGTCTTTGGGTGTGTAAAGGTAAAGGGACCCCTGACCACTAGGTCCAGTCGTGACCAACTCTGGAGTTGAGGCGCTTGTCTCACTTTATTGGCCGAGGGAGCCGGTGTACAGCTTTCGGGTCATGTGGCCAGCATGACTAAGCCGCTTCTGGCGAAACAGAGCAGCACACGGAAACGCTGCTTACCTTCCCGCCAGAGCGGTACCTATTTATCTATTTGCACTTTGACGTGCTTTCGAACTGCTAGGTTGGCAGGAGCAGGGACCGAGCAACGGGAGCTCACCCCATCGCAGGGATTTGAACCGCCGACCTTCTGATCGGCAAGTCCTAGACTCTGGTTTAAACCACAGCGCCACCTGCGTCCCTTCTTTGGGTGTGTACAACAGTTCTATAGGGTGGTCACTTTTACTTGCATTTTACACACGAAATAACTCTTGATTTCTAGACAATGAACAGTTCACATCCAACCATGGTAGAGGTGGAAACTCAATCCAGGTCTAGATAGGAAGATACCTGTTTACAGCTCAGATTATTTCTCCATCTTGTCCAATATTGTTTGGTAGTGGTAGTGGCTGGTAGTGACTCATCAGGATCTTGGGGAGAGTGGGGTCTTTCAGTAACTTGTCATATGATCCATCTGCTGCCATGGATTGAACTTGGGACATTCTGCATATCAAACATGTGGTCTACCAACAGAGGGTCCTACCCCAAAGCCTCCTTAGTAAGAAACAATCTTCCTCACTTTCTTATGTAGTTATAGTACTTAGTTGTCTGGAAAAGTAACATCTGGGCAAGACTATAGTTAAAGGTTCTGGATCTCAAGCATTCTTTTAATGTTTTACATGTAACACAGAAAAATGGGGTCTTACTATTGTTGTTTAAGATTCTATTTTACATTGATGAGGAACCTGTGGCCCCTCAGATGTTGTTGGATTCCAACTCCCATCATTTTTGGATATTGTCTGTTCTGCCTAGGGTTGGTGGGGGTTGGAGTGCAACAACATCTTAAGGAATACAGATTCAGTACCCCATGTGTACTGGATTGAGTATGTTAATAATAATAATGCTAATAATTTATTACTTATACCCCGCCCACCTGGCTGGATTTCCCCAGCCACTCTGGGCGGCTTCCAACAAGAGATTAAAAATACATTAAAACATCATTCATTAAAAACTTCCCTAAACAGGACTGCCTTCAGATGTCATCTAAATGCCAGATAGTTGCTTATTTATTTGTCAGCTGATGGGAGGGTGTTCCACAGGGCGGGCGTCACTGCCAAGAAGGTCCTCTGCCTGCTTGCCTATAACTTTGCTTCTTGCAGTGAGAGAACCGCCAGAAGGCCCTCGGTGCTGGACCTCAGTGTCTGGGCAGAATGTTGGGGGTGGAGACGCTCCTTCATAAAAGAAGCCATGATTCTACTTTCCCTGCTATTTAGTGTGGTAACCCCAAGAATATGTTGTTTCACATCATAGTGAAGAAATGGAAGCATTATTGTAGGACAGTCCCCCACATTTTAAAGATCAATTTTGTAAACAGCATGTATAGGAAAATGTCTTTCTTTTCAACAAAAAATAAGGAATTTTGAAAATGCATATCAGGTCAATGAAGATTTTTTTCACGTGAAAGGACTATTTTGTGAAATGGAACATTTCTTTAAAAATAAGCTTATTTTCCTCTCCTGTCACCCAAGTTCTTTGTTTATTTGTGGTCTCAGTTCTGCAATGCCTTTGTTCCTGATACTATGACTAACTTTATATCTGCCATTGCTATAGTAATAGACACTTAAAAAAACCCTTAGTCCTAAAGGCAGGGACTGAACCTACTTTCGTATTGTTAAGCTGTTGCGTATTGGGACCCTTTCTCAGCTGATATGATCACAGCATACATGTGAAAATTAAAACATACAAATCTATCTCATGCACCTTTTACATCAGCCAAAATAAGAAATTTGCAAATCATAGATCATCATGTTTAATGCTCAGCTCTTACCACATAGGATCTGGTTTCAGTTTCGGCAGCAGTATTGCAGTGCAAATGGCAAAGGCTATAGTCTGGCTAAAAGTAAGAGGTCTAAATTCCAATGTCCGAAAGGGTAAACAAAGTGTGACGGTGTGGTAAGAGGTTCATTAGTTAGGAAAGAACTGAACAGGTACTAAAATTACAGGGGAAACAAGGGAATAAATGTTCTACATGTGTGTTTATTTTCCAAAAAATATGAAAACCTACTTTTTATTTTAGTAGACTATGTAGAAGAACTTCCTGAAACAGATGAGCCTGTCTGGATCTTAGGAAGGCAGCACCATCTTAAAACAGGTAGGAATGGAAGGAAGCTGTGTTTCTAAGGTCCACAAAGCTTTTGTGGATGCTTAGTTTAAGCACCTCATGTTTCTCACTTTGTATTGCGCCCCACTGTATTAATCTGTGTAGAGAGTAGAAATCTTGGAAAATAAATCTGCTGTCTACAATGCCCAGGGTACTAATGCTGTAAACCAAAATGACATTTAGGGGAGGGTGCTATCTAGAGAGCATCCTTACACAATATACTTTTTTGTCAGGTTTTTCACATGTGACTTGTGTTATTTCTAGCAATTGGATGATTACGGCCAAACAATCTTTATTTGATAGGGTGGTCTTGACTCTTGAGAAACGGAATGGTATTGTGACACTTTCTTGGGTGAAAAAACAGCTTGGGGGTGATCATGTGCTGAACAAGGACAGATGGAAAGAGATTTAAAGGCCCTCTTATCAGGATTGCTCAAGATTGTGGAATCAGAGAAATAAAGCAGGGGAAAGAATAATGGAACTCTGTTAAACATGGAGTCAAATGAGTGATATAACATGGAGTTTGAGAGATCTGCACTTCTGCAGTGAACTATGGAAGCAAATGCTCCAAATATTGACGTCTTTGGAATACAAAAAGGGAAGTTAAGAAGGAAGTGCAGACTTTTCTACAAAAGGGGGCTACTTTAATATACCGTATTTTTTGCTCTATAAGACTCACTTTTTCCCTCCTAAAAAGTATGGGGAAATGTGTGTGCGTCTTATGGAGTGAATGCAGGCTGCGCAGCTAGCCCAGAAGCCAGAACAGCAAGAGGGCTTGCTGCTTTCACTGCGCAGCGATCCCTCTTGCTGTTCTGGCTTCTGAGATTCAGAATATAATTTTTTCTTGTTTTCCTCCTCCAAAAACTAGGTGCGTTTTGTGGTCTGGTGCGTCTTAGAGAGCGAAAAATACGGGTATATAGATCCTTGATCCTCTCTTAAGTTGTTCATGTTCAGCAGTGCAGCAGCAATCACAAATACTGAATTTGTGTAAATTTGTAATCTGAACTCCCTATTTTTAATGCTTTTTTAATTCTAGAAAAATCTAAGCTTCTTTTGGATATAAGTGCTCGTCTTTGGTTTACCTACAGAAGAAAATTTTCACCAATTGGTAGGTATGCTTTCTAAGATGTGTGGGTTCTTCTCCTTCCCTTTGTTCTGTTCTTAAAAATATGACCTGTGTAAAGGAATTAGTTCAGGATGACAGCACTTGCAGCCTTTGATCATTTAGTGCATGCTTTTTAAAAGTTTGCTGTATCCGGGCAGAGAATTACTTGGTACAGAACAGGTCCTGACACTTTTAGGCTTTTGCCTTGATCCGTTGAGGCCTTTGCAGCCTAGCAATTGCTTTGGGTAGCATCGGTGGGACACACTTAGATATTTGTTGTGCTTCCTGATATTGGGTTTGTTCCAATCACCTTCCTTTAGGGGGGCCATCTGAACTGCCACCAGACTTTCAAAAACCTTCTTGATCTTCTACCTTCTCCTTTGTGGCTCTCAGTGATCATATGCTATGAGTTGGGTGTGGGTCTATACTCTTACATTTCCCAACTCAGTGCTCTCCATATGTTTTGGACTAAGATTCCCATCAGCCCCAGCCAGCATGGTCATTATGCAGGCTGGGCTTGATAGGGAGTTTTAATCCAAAGCATATTGAGGTCGCGAGATTGGGTAAGGCCGGATGGCATTAATCAAACTATCACAACATTCGTCCAGAATTTTGGATTTATGATCCACAGCTTAGGTTAAAGCCTACTTGTTGGTGAATGCACTTCACTCGGTCCTCCACTGCATTTTCATCATGCTAAGAATTATTCCAATAGCAAACTATTGTGGGTACTAAGCATTTTTCTTTTATGTGAAGAGAAAAATCCAAGGAAGGGAAGCAGTCTATGTTGTTTCTTTTGGTAAATTCATAAATGTGGTGATTCTTGACCCCAGGTGGCACCGGCCCTTCCTCAGATGCTGGCTGGGGCTGTATGCTGCGATGCGGACAGATGATGTTGGCCCAGGCTCTGATCTGTCGACACTTGGGGAGGGGTGAGTGTGGTCTTTCACCAGTAGATTCCCAGAATGGTCGTGGTTGTAGGAATGAGAAATGAGTGAGGGTGAGGGGTGTCTGAATATGTTTTATATTGTTTGGGGTTGGGCTTCAGTGCCTCATCTAGTTGATTCTAGAAAGACTAGAATAAGTTTTGCAAAGAGAAAATATGCTATTATGTACAGCTTTCCTAGTTATATTTTAAAATCAGTTTTTTCTGGTTCAGAAATTATATTACCTGGTTGTGCAATTGTAATTCTTTTTTTAGTAGTAAGTATTTTAATTTGTCTGAATTAGTTTTATGATGTATTTTAATTAATTGATGCCTGTTTTTATGTATACTGTGTTATTTATATGATGTTAGCCGCTCTGAGCCTGGCACCGGCCAGGGAGGGTGGGGCACAAATAAATTATTATTACTATTACTATTACTATTACTATTACTATTACTATTATTAAGTATGCAACCCTGATTTGTAGCCAATAATTTAGAAAATTACAGTAGCTATCATAACCAAAGGTATACATGTATCACCTACTGCCATTGAACACTACTTTTCAAGATTATGATAGGCACTACTTTTCAAGATTATGATAGGATATTTAAAATCTAGAATAATTTTCTCTCTAAGATTGGCATTGGGAGAAACACAAAAGGCAACCTGAAGAATATCACAAAATCTTACGCTGTTTCCTGGACAGAAAAGACTGCTGTTATTCTATCCATCAAATGGGTAAGAGTTGGCTTTGAGAATTATTTCTTCCACCCTTGTTTTTCAAACTTTTAGTGTACTTAAACTTCTGTTAGCGTAATTTTAGTGTGAAAAATGCATGTATGCCTTCAAATGCTATAAAAGTTGCAAATCCTGGTCAAAAGCATAGCAGTGCAAAAGAGAATACGTTTTTGTGTGTGCACACACAAATATAGAAATAATAATAATTGGGTGATGAGGCTGTAATTTAGAATACAGGTTCCCAAATCATTTGTGTCATGAGAGCTCCCAGGTAAAAGGCATGATTCTGAAATGTGAGATTCATTGAGACATATGGACCAGTCCACTAAACCACAATTTGTCTTTATCCATGTTTTAATCAGGAACATGCCTCTCCCTTGCTGTATAGTTCCCTCTCATGTGACTCAAATAAGTCATATTATGGCTTGTCATGTGTTCTGAACTTTGAAGGTTTGTTCTTGGCTTCTTTTTGGCTTACTGCTAGTGGTCTGGGTTCAGACACTATAGCATTGCTGCTCAGCTTAAATCAAGCTTAAAATATTTAGCTGAGGTTCTTAGTCTTGTGATAACATCCAGTGTGATCCTTGATACAGAACAAGTTTCCATCTCTTTTGTGTGAAGGTAGTCCCAATTTCTAATGGCTTTGGAATGTGTGCAATGCAGCCTAAAAGAATGTGCCATTCGACAGACTGATGCTTCTTATTTTTCTGTGTGTCTGTTTCTGTTTCTAATCTACACAGCACAGATGGGTGTTGGTGAAGGGAAGTCTATTGGGGAATGGTTTGGACCAAATACTGTTGCCCAAGTGCTCAAGTAAGCAAGCAAGCATGTATATCTTGTGTGGAATTTAGATGGAATGGAAAGACAGTTTAGTTCCACTCATTTAACACTGATACTCTGCTGCACTTTCATAACATGAAGGTTCTCCCTGGAGATAATGGTGGTGGTGGTGGTGATGATGATGATTGACTCTTCTGGCACATTAATGATTAATTATTGTGGCATGAACTTTTATGCACAAGCTTCCTGGCTTTGTTACATTAACACCTGCAATCGATCTTGATTGAGTCCTGAACCAAATTGCTGTCCAGCTATTTCACACAGAAATCCTACTTTGTAATTTTTTAAAAAATAATGGTGAATAACAGTCAACAACAGAGTTTCCTACTATTTTCAGTTTTGTGTCCATTTAGTCTTTGCATGGAGACTGACTTGTTGCCCCAGGCAAATAGTAGAAGGTCCTTGTTGGCAGATAGCATATATTCACTGTGGGATGAAGAAGTGGAGCCTCTGATGCCCTTTTTCCAGCACAGCACATAGTTATCAATTTTATCCAGAATATTTTTCTGAGGCAGGTTAGACTGAGAGATAGTGACTTGCCCAATGGTCACTCATTGAGCTACATGGCATAGTAGGGATTTAAAGCCAAGTCCCCTGAGTCCAGTTCGCCAACCATTGCATGACTTCAGCTGTCCTCCATAGGCTATGCACTCCTAATCACCAGACTATCTCTTGCATGAATCAAGCAACAACTTGCAGAATTGATCCATATGATAAAACAGGGAAGGCAAAACCCCTCTAGGACAAAGTTTCTAGTTAGCATCACAACTTGCTGTTGTGATCTCTGGTTAGATTTTGAAGCAGCTCAGTATTCTGAGATACGTATTGTTCCCATGTTATAGAATTTATCTGTCATTACTCGAAGCACTAAAATTTAAATTGCAGCTTTAAAAGCATGGGGACCTGTTGAATAAGAACAGCCTGAAATTCTAAACCTGATTTAAAAATCCTATTTTTAAGTAACATTAAGCTGGAAAAGCAATGTATCTCTTCTGCATAAGCAGTTAACAGAAGATTGAAATATGACCATACTTGGGGAAGGTTAGTAGTGGCAACTGAATATTGGCAGACAGAGAGATAAAAATTATGTTAAACTGCCAGTCTCTTGTATTAATGTAGCATAGCAATCCTCATCTTCAGAACATTTTCAATAAAAACAAGCAAAAGCTTAATAATTTGAATCTCAGAAATCAGGGATCCAGATTAGCACCTGCAACAATAAAAAATTATCTCCTGTTTTTCTTTTCCTCCTTTAAAGCAGGTGTGGTCCTCCAGATGCTGCTGAACCACAACTTTTGTCATCCATGGCCATTGAGCATGCTTAATGGGAATTGTAGTTCAGCAACTTATGGGGGATCAAATGTTCTCCATAACTTTCTTAATGGTTTTGTGCAGACCTTTTCCTAACAACATTTATTTATTATATTTGTAATCCTTGCATCCCACTTGCATCCCTGAGAGGCTCTTGAAAGTAGCTTATAACAAATTTTTAGAATGAAAATCACATTCAAGTCTTGTGTCAATCGTTGTGTCCCTATGGTACCTGAATTATTTAGGTGGCATTTCCTGCCCTAATCCTAATCCTGCCATAATCTTCCCTGTTGTTGACCTTTGGCATCAGCCTACTAAGTGCTAGAGCCCAGTGATGTATTCTGTGGCAAGGGAGTGTGGCTAAGCAACGGGAACTCACTCAGCCCCTGATGGAGGCAAGTCTTCCCTTGCTGGCTGTTGCCACTTCCCACTAAAGCATGGGACTGAACACTCACAGACAATCCCACTATACTGGTGTGCAACTTTATCCATGTATTTGTAAAATGACCTCTCCTAGAAGTATCTCATTTATTTAAGACTCTTCCAGTCATATTGAAGGCAGAGTGTTGGCCTCTGAGTGGCATGGAATTTGGACTTACTACTGTCTGTTTCCCCACCCCCAGGAAACTTGCACTATTTGATGAATGGAATTCCTTAGCCGTTTATGTGTCTATGGACAACACAGTTGTGATTGAAGATATCAGTAAGTTATAAGCACCAGCTGTTTAACAGAATTTCTGATTCACCCAGGCCTTAAACTGAATTGGAATTTAGCTCCAGTCTGATTTTTATTCCTTGGAAAATATGAAGATCAGTACAAGCATGCTTGGATACAGATTATCAGCTAAAAGAGGACTAGTTTCAGTCTCAGCCATACCACATGAGAATCACCATGCTACGTGTCACAATGCATCCGCTGAACAGTTTGATTGCTATTTTGTAATCAGTTTCTTTAGAAAACTCATGGTTTGCTTCTTTACATGAGCTCTAAAACTTACAACTAGCTTTTCCATGCTTATTCTAGTTGTGCAGACAGAATTACCACAATTTTCTTCTTAACTACTGGTTCCTTCTGTAAGGAATGTCTTTGCTGTAACCCACAAGTATTTGGGGACACTGAACTGAGTATTCACTTCATAGATAAGTATAAGATGTGTGCACACAGGAATGGCTCCCTCCATTAAAGTGAACAGCTAAACTCAAGTGAACGGACAATTAGGTTTTATTGTCTCTTATTTCCCAGAGAAGATGTGCCGGTTTCCATCCCAGAACTGTTCCAGTACCCACTGCAGCTCCCTGTCACACAGGAGTGTGCTCAGCCGAAACAAGAGCCCTATGGGAATCTGCTGTGGTTGGAAGCCGCTGCTGCTGATTGTACCTCTTCGCTTGGGGATAAACCACATCAATCCGGTTTATGTTGATGCTTTTAAGGTACAGCTCTCTTATAGTTGATGTGATTGATCTGGTCAGCTTAATAGGAGTGTTTGGAAATGTTTTGAGCAGTTGCAGGTACTTTAATAACTAGTGCACATACATATGCATGGTCTGAAGGAGCACAATGAAACAACTTTGCTCAAGCTAAAGAGGTCTGGGTCTGTTTAGGGCCTGGGGACTCTGTATATGCTGCCTTCAGTTCCATCATGGAAGAAAGGTGGCATATAAATGTAATAAAGTTCTTCTTCTTTATCTTTCAATCTGTAGGAGTGTTTTAAGATGCCACAATCTTTGGGAGCTTTAGGAGGAAAACCAAACAATGCCTACTACTTTATAGGATTCTTAGGTAAGGAAAAATAAGTGGAGTGCCAAATAAATATCTTTGCTTCTGAAGGATTATTTTAAAGGTGAATTTGCTAAGTAATGCAGGTGGGCCTAACAGCCAGCTGCAATAAGAGAGCATATAAACGATACTCCGTACTGCTTTATAATACATCGTATACTCAGTAGTTTGCTTTGAGGCTGAAGAGCCAAAGAAGTTGTGTGATCAGGCTTCTGTCACTAGCTAGGAGACTGGGGCCACAGGGAGGTTTCACCCTTTGTCTCTCTGGATGAGGACAAGAACCACCAACTGCTGTTCAGGGAAAACACCAACAATCAATGATCAGCCTGACTCAAAACCTTTACTTACTTTTATCAAATTTTCACAAACAGTACAAAAAAACTGGCCCTTTCTCCATCCTCTACCTCTTCCCTCCACTGCCCTTTCCTTGTGTGTCCTCCTATTTAATTTGTAAATACATTAGAATATATAATATGAAACGATGCATGAAATCTTCCCTCTGCACACATGTGTATGCGCGCCCGCCCACCCACCCACCCACAGTCCCTTCTTAGGAAAAGTTCAAGATAATGGTGTCCCATATCTGTTAGTAGTTATGGCTAATGGCATGGATAGTTTAGTTCTTGATAGATAAATGCATCCATTGATCAGTAGGGCTTTTAAATAGAGTTACTCTATGAAAAGGTGGTTAGCAGGCCTTTTTGAATGCTAACTCCTCCCCTGTCCCCAGGAGGAATATTAGATTGGGCCTCTAGTATACTCCCTACCTCACTTCTTTGTTCTCTTACTCCTTTCTCTTTGGGGAGAAGTGAATGACCAAAACATCACTATTTGTATGTGGATTTCCCTCTTATTCTGGAAAGTTAATTTCTCTTTAAAGAAGGGTTAAAAACCACACATTTGTGTATTCAGTTGTTCACTTTTCTCCAGAATGAAAACTTGGTGGGGAGGAGCTCATTCCCAGTCTGTCCCCAGGGGATGTGGAAATGGTTAAAGACAAAATTATCAAAACTAAGTGTTTTCCAGTTTGTTGCTGTTATTCTCCTAGAGTCAAGATGACAAAAAACTGATCAAGCATCTCTACAAGACTGTGCTCTTGAGTGCACTCAGTAGTATTGTGCTGTAAGTGTACATAAGGACACTCCAGGCTCAGCCTGGAGGCAAAGGCAAGCAGATCAGGCAAAAAGGCTCACAACATTCTTTCATATACCAGAGAAAGATTCAGGTGGATAGCCGTGTTGATCTGTCATAGTTATAATAAATAATAAGATGAAAAATGAAAAAATCTTTTTTAATAATTCCAGTGGCACCTTTAAGATCAACTAAATATAAGCTTTCACGGTATGAGCTTTCGTTTGTAATACACACTTCGTCAGAGAAAGGTTAGGAAAAGCATTTCCTCTATTCACAAAGCTTGCCACAAGACATGCCCTCTCACAGCATGGGACATCAAAACATGGGTAGGATTGGGTGGTAATCACAGTGGATATGCTGCTAATTCCCAGTTTGGAGAGTGAAGTTGAAAATACAGATTGCTCTCCTCTAGTCTACGTGAGAGCCTTTTGAGTTTGTGCTTAATGAACAGCAGGTGCCTTTCTTAATGGGAATAAACTATTAAGGTTATTAAGTATTATCCAGATATCATTGTGCTGACAAGTTGCAGTGTTGGGAGTATGAGAGCAGATGGTTTGATCAGTTCAAATCACTGTATGAAATCTAGTCCTTCCCCAAAGCATTGCTTTGGCTTCTCCAGCCCACCTACTCTTTTAAGACCCTTCCTCCAAGCATTTTGCAACCTTTCCTGTCCTATGCAAGTCTTCCCCCAGCTCATCTTTGGCTACTTATTTTCTCTGCTCCATCTCTTCTCTGCCCTCATTCTTTTAGGTTCCTTCACCTCTCCTTCCTTCAGTTTCTTATGTCTGAGCTCAGTTCCATTTCCTTCAGTCGCCCTGACTCATCCCATCTCCCCTTCTGGTCCTTGGTCTCCCTGCCTCTCCATCACTACTTTGCCTTTCTACTGATGTTAGCATCAGCACCCCTTGTGTTCATAGACACCAAAGGTCTCTTGCTGCCTGCACTGCATTGTTCCTTCCTTTTCATTATTGTGTATCTCTTCTGCGGCTTAATGGTAGAGCACAGATTTGTGTGCAAAAAGGTCCCAGATTCAATCTCTGGCCTCTACAGTTAGGGCTTGAAAAGACTCTCGTTTGGGGATCCTGGAGAGCCACTTCCCATCACTGACAGCAATACTGGGATGGCTGGATCAATGGGGAAGCTTCCTATATTTCTAAGCCCCTGCTTCCTACATTTGGCAGCTTCTTTTTATTTTTCTTCTCAGTCCACTGTCTCGTCTGCCCTACCTCACCTGCTATTAATGTCCATACAGAGTGCAAGACTGAATGGCTTTCAGTTCTACCCATTTCTGACAAACTGCTCTTGTTTTACCCGCACAGGAAATGAGTTGATCTACTTGGACCCTCACACCACACAGATTTTTGTAGATTCTGAAGAAAATGGTGCTGTAGATGACCATAGCTTCCATTGCCAGCAAGCACCACATCGGATGAAGATAATGAATCTCGATCCCTCTGTAGCTTTAGTAGGTGTTGGCAGGAGTGGATGTCTGTCACCCTGACCTGCAGCCTTGCACCCCTGTGGTCCTTACTCCACACTTTTGTCTATTCTTGTCTTCACAATTGGAACACGAATGCTGTCCCACCCTATCATGCACAGGCAGCTAACTTTACCTTATGTCAAGGCCCCCTGGTTTGGTTACATATCTAAACTGCCCAATATTTTGTATACTGGTTAATTTAGCCTTACATGTTAATGCCATTTGTGGCCTTGTTCTCTGTGTTTGTTTTGTACCACTTCTGACTATTGACGAGGGACTTGCATGACCAATCATGGGGGAATTATTATAATGTTCATTCAAGATGCCCTGAAAAGTAGTATTTGGACAGCTGGATCTTGCTCTTCCCCACACCAGACTTCTGACTGGGTACTTTTTGCCCCCAAATTATATCTCACTTAAAATATTCTTGTACCTTCACAGGGATTCTTTTGTAGAGAAGAAAAGGACTTTGATAACTGGTGTAGCCTTGTGCAAAAGGTAAGCATTAGGAAGCTTTTTAACTGGCATAAGTTCCCCTTTAAAATGAACCTCTAGGTACATTAGGTGGGGTGAGATGCATGGAATAATATAACCAAGGAGAGGCTGTTTTAAATTACTCCCCATTGTGGCCCTCTCTGCTCAACAACACATTTCTTTGTACTGATTTGCTAATCGGCTGCAGTGGTGGCATAGGGAAAATGGATGGCGTGAGCCAGCATGCACCCCCGCAGCTTGTGTAAAGAGGTCAGCCAGGGCCCAAAGTATATATGGATCTATTGCCCAGGTTACCGTATTTTTCACCCTATAGAATGCACTTTTTCCCTTCCAAAAATGAAGGGGAAATGTGTGTGCATCCTATGGGTCGAATGCAGGCTTCAGGAAGCTATCCCCCCAGCCCGGCAAGCTCCCAGAGGGATGCCAAAGCTGCGTGCACCTTCGCCATCACTCTCCGACCCGTTCTGGGGGCTGGGGTCGGGGGAAGCTCCGGCTTCCCCCGCCTGCAGCCTCGCAAGCTCTGAGAGCGATGGCGAACGTGTGCACACCTTCACCATCACTCTCCGACCCGTTCTGGGGGCGGGGGAAGCTCCGGCTTCCCCCGCCCGCAGCCTCGCAAGCTCCGAGAGCGATGGCGAACGTGCGCGCACCTTCACCAGTGCTCTCGGACCCGTTCTGGGGGCTGGGGTCGGGGGAAGCTCCGGCTTCCCCCGCCCGCAGCCTCGCAAGCACCGAGAGCGATGGCGAACGTGCGCGCACCTTCACCAGTGCTCTCGGACCCGTTCTGGGGGCTGGGGTCGGGGGAAGCTCGGGCTTCCCCCGCCCCAGCCCCGCGCCTGGGGGGGGTGAGAAATAGTTTTTCCCCCTTTATTCCCCCCCCAATCTAGGTGCATCCTATGGGCCGGTGCGTCCTATAGGGCGAAAAATACGGTACATTCTGATCTGATACCTAAAGTGTGTGTGCTCTTGTGTCATGTCTTCATCTGCCAGCCCTGGTTTGTGAGTGAGACACGTTATTCGTGTACAGGTGCCTGTTACTTATGAGATCTTCTCACTGCCCTGGTACTTGTTGAAAAGCAACCCAATGGTATGTGAGTGTGAGACTGTGGCAGACCACACTGTTTGACTTTGGAAGTAAAAAAAAAAAAGTTAGATGTAATGTAAGCGCGGGACGCGGGTGGTGCTGTGGGTAAAACCTCAGTGCCTAGGACTTGCCGATCGTATGGTCGGCGGTTCGAATCCCCATGGCGGGGTGAGCTCCTGTCTTTCGGTCCCAGCTCCTGCCCACCTAGCAGTTCGAAAGCACCCCTAAGTGCAAGTAGATAAATAGGGACCGCTTACTAGCTGGAAGGTAAACAGCGTTTCTGTGTGCTGCGCTGGTGCTGGCTCGCCAGAGCAGCTTCGTCACACTGGCCACGTGACCCGGAAGTGTCTCTGGACAGCGCTGGCCCCCGGCCTCTTAAGTGAGATGGGCGCACAACCCTAGAGTCGGACACGACTGGCCCGTACGGGCAGGGGTACCTTTACCTTTTATAATGTAAGCACCTTGTTAGTGTAGATGTTGCTGAGCTGGGTGGACCAACAGTCTGATGCCGTATAGGGCAGATTCCTATGTTCCTTACTAATTCCTTACTAGTACTAGTTCCTTACTAATTCCTTATTTTTAATAATAATAATAATAATAATAATAATAATAATAGTAATAATACAAATTTTTATTATTTATACCCTGCCCATCTGACTGTGTTTACTTATTTCTTTGAATAAGTTCTCCCTGCAGTCATAGGACATAATGTGTGGCTTTGCAGAAAAATAAAATCGAGGTGAACATGACCTGCTGCCTGAGTTTTGCTCAGCTATAAAAGCTCCAACTGTGCTTTTGTGGTGTCACAGATATTTCAGTCATGAAAGCATTAAAGTGTGAGCATTGATCATTAGACTAAGAAGTGACTACCTAAGGACTGCGCAAGCGATGATGATGATTCTGTAGCACAAGAGCACAAACTGTCTACTACTTCCAGTTGTTAACTTCCCGTATAATTCAGCTATGTTTTCTGGTTTTGTTATTGCAGCACACATTTAAAAATGAAATATTGTTCTCCCCAGGAAATACTTAAGCAGCAGAGTCTGCGAATGTTTGAGTTGGTTCAAAAGCATCCACCGCACTGGCCCCCTTTCATACCTCCTACAAAGCCAGAAGTAACCACAACTGGAGCAGGTACAGGATTGTGTTTAACTTCTCCCCCACCCCCCAGCAACTATATATATAGAGGGGGATACAGAGAGTGAGATGGAATCTTGGTTTGTGAAGTAACAAATGTTCCTATCTAACCCTTCCTCACTTTTCCTCCTGGAGGCTGTAGCCATTTCCATATGTTGCAACACAGCAGTGGCATCTTAAAGACTTAGCAGTTTCATTGTGACATAAAGTTTTGTGGACTGGAGTGGGATTTGTAGCCTAAACAAGCTTATGGCACTGTTAGACTTTGAAGGTACTGCAGACTTTTGTTGTTGTTCCTTCCTCCCACTGCTGTGCTCTTTCTGAAGTCAATGTATGAAGCTGTGTGCTCAGCCAAGGTTTTCACTAGATGAACACACACTAATTTGTCATCCCTGGGAATGGAATCTTTTTTCCTTTTGTTATGCTGTGACTTTTCTGGTTATCTTGTAGTGAGAGCCACAGAGAAATTGGTCCTATGGATTGGTGGTGGTGTGATGGATTCCAGTAATGTCAGCAAGACATTTTGTGGTTTGTTTAAATCACAATGGCACTGGAATCTTTTCCAAAGTACTCTGAAGATTCAGCCCATCCTAGGAAATTGGTGCACCCAGTTCTAGTTGTGGTAGAAACACCCAAAATCTTAAGTAAATACATATAAAGCACAGTGCTGCTTGAGAGGAGTTATCTTTGTCTCCCAACAGATGGGATCCATTTGGAACTGGAATTCCCCGTGAAACAGTAGCAGCAAATGAGACTGATGCAGACCTTGCAGTTTGAAGGCAGGATTGTGGGGTGGGGTGGAGTGCAACTGGTCTTCATGTCAAATGGAGTCCATAAGCTCTGGAACAGGGGATTTAAAAGGGAGATGTGGTAAATCAAGTGTCTTGCATCAGTGTGGAAAAGCAGAAAAAAGGATTGCACTAATGCTGATTTGGATGTAAGTAGAAGGTCATAAAAGTCTCTAAATGTGGTGAAAGGCACAAGAACAAGAACAAAGCTTGCTCTTTAAGGAACAGCAAGTTGCACTTTGCAGGTTGGAGACTGCGGGAAAGAGACCCACAGAAATTTATGTGACACAAAGGCAGCTTTTTAAAATGAATCCTTGCTGAAGGTACAGAAAAGTTTGCTTTAAAACTGAGCCTTAAGCCTACATGCTAAGAACTTTGGATTGTGCCCAACATATCTCTGAAGAAGAAGGGAAGACTGTCATTCCCACATATTCCATGGGGCAAAAGTTAAAGGAGTCCAGTTTAAAAAACAAATCTTAATCTATCATCTCCTTTCTTGAAACTTAGACAATTGCAATAAATAGCTAAGCTTCCTTATCTTTGTTACATTTGGAAAAGTTTGACATTTTAGTGTTTATTTGTTTTTTAATTAGGGAGGCTTGCCATGGTAAAGTTTGTAAATTTCTGCACAAAAGTCAGAGGTGCATGCTCTTGATAATAAGTTGTTTTTTCCATTTCCCACAGAGCTCATTGAGTCCACTGACAAACTATTTGAATCGGAAGAAGAGTTTGAGATCCTGAGCGTCTGAAGGAAGCTTCAGTTGACCTTGTGTGTGCCCATGTGTAGCATATGAATTGACTAAGACCACGGCAGCCTTTTCTCGCCCCAAAGTGCCTGCATATAAACAGTGAACAGAGCACAAGAAATGACCAGTAACTGGAACTGAGGACAACAGTTTTGAAAAGAACTTCCCAGAAGTGAAAGTGGACATACCCCTTGCCCCAGCCCCCCACCCCCCCAGTTTTTTAAGAATGTATCTTGCCTGAGGAAAATGAAATTTTGGGGGATGAAGGCAATGATGATATTGAAGTAAAGACTTCTATATTGCTGGGAATTGCCTTGAAGGCATTGATATCTGGATGGCTATTATTACTCAGTGTAGTATAATGCAAGAGTTCTGTTCACACTGAAAGCATGATGTAGAGGTAAAGGTGTGTGTTTACCTCTTGTTTCTTCACCTGGACTGTTTCATAGGAATAAATGTTTTTATAAGATCAACTGCATCAGGGAAAAAAAGACCCAATGGTTTTGTTTAAATACATTTCTGCAACCACACTTCAAAAATAAACAGACCTAAATGTTTCTATGAAAGGAACTGTCTAATAGATACAAATTTTGCAATTGTCCTCCTGTTTCTAGGAGTTAAATAAATGAATGGGGGACCTGGAGGGCAACCCTCCAGCCTCCTAGCCTCTCCCCACTTGCACTCCTGGAAAGGAAGTGAAGGTTCGAGAGTGCCAGGAGCCGCCTGCTCCCTTGGTATGTTCCTCCTCCTCTGTAATTTTCATGACATATTTCACCTTGACCTTAGGTTTAAATCATTATGGAAACTTTCTACTTTGGTTTTTGAGTAAAAAAAAGTAATTTGTTTCAAACTGTAATTTTATTTATTTTATAATATTTACAGTTTTCTCTCCTCTGTAAGAGCACTTTACATGTGCATCTAATAAATTTCTTAAACATTTAATAAATTAAATGCTAGATTTTGTGAGTTGTTTGGGACTTTTCTTAACCACCCAAGGAAGTTCTCTGGCAAAATGAAAATTACTGTCTCTTCCCCTTTGTTACTACTTTGACATGGTCAGGCATGGATGGTGTAACTTTTATAGTCCTGCGATCCTAGCAATGCAGTTTTATTTGCAACTTGAGGTTTTCCCCCTAAAGGTTACTTTTGCTGCACGTAGCACATTTATTTCTCCTTGGTGCCATAATCATTAGCACTTTGCTTGTTAGGTTAGCTGCTTGTGTAAAAACAGTGCTTTGGGCAACCATTATGAGCATCTTATTATTCCATATGGGTCTAAGCATCTACTTTGCCTTTACAAATGAAATCTGATGAGAACTACACATTTGTGCATTGAGAAGCAAGTATGCTGTTTCTTCACATATGTTTGGCCTCTTGTTATGCAACAAGACCCAATGAATTGGTGCTGAGTTACAGTTGTAAATATTTACCCCCTGAAACCATCACCTGTGCAATCAGGGAGTGTGAATCTGCTAGAGGGCGGTGTGTCCCATATAAAAAAATCATTGTGTGGTTCCATGTGAGAGAAAGCTGGCCTTTGGTACTTTTGTAAGGAAACAGCACCTGCTGTTAATCTGGAGGGTAGGTGGCAAAAGTCCCCTAGTGATCTCTCTGGTGATACAACTGCAAACTGATTGATTTGAACTCTCAACTGTTGAATAAAGCTCCATTAGATTTCTGTCTTGCACCAAAACTGGCATCCTGTTCAGAAAAACTCTGAAATTTACTGAGAAGTTGGGGAGTGGTGAAGAGAAAGGGACAGTGTTTATTCAACTGCATAAGGAAAAACAGCATAACTCACAAAATTGGCATATTTGTGTTTTATGGCTTTTTCGATAAAATTAACAATGGAAAATACAGTCTGTGCCCTAAAGATGCTTTTGACAGTGTATTACAAAAATAATCACACTTCTCCCCCAGTTGAAACAAAAGAGAACCCGCCATGGCTTAAGCAGTAGAAAAGGTTAATCTAACATCTACTCAAAGTTAAGTGTAAAACTAAATTGTTTTATAGTGTATATCACTTTGGCACCAGCAGTTTCAAGGCTACCTCTGAAAGGCAAAAATCTGTAAATGTGCTCTAACAGTTGCAAACCTGTTGAGTAACCAGTATATAAATTTTCTCATTTTATGTACAGTACAGCACAAGAATTGGAGAAAACCATGAAATTTCACACATATGTCTTTAGATTCCACAAAGAAAAATGGACGTTTTCACTCAAGACCCATAAAGCACCAGTGAATACAGAAGTCATTAACCCCCAATGACCTGCTCAAGCATGCATTCCTATTGCAAATGGTACAGAATCATGATTGATTTTGAGCACTGTCAAATGTAAGGGAGGTTGAGCTTTTAGACAAAGTGAATCTTTATATGCACCACCAGCAGCCTGCCTGGTATGATCAGGGGTTCATAGAGACCCAGGATATAGTGTGATGTCATCCCATAAAGATTGGTACATGGGTTTTAAAACATCTGAAAATGGTCTTCAAGATAACCGACTATTCTGTTTATAGTGTAAAACTCAGTAAAAATAGAGCACCCTAAAAAATAAATGAAAAACAATTGGTTTGTTCATCTTAGAGGCATAACTATTGCACATGTTTTTAAGTCCCCTATGACCACAAAATACCATCCACATATAGTAGTAGACTATCACAGATTAATCCAACACAGCCTAGGCTATTCCTGTGTCACACGCAGAAAGCAAGGAACTTTGCATAAACACCTACAGGAAATATTAAGACATTATGCAATGAGAAGACATATTTTACAAAATGGCCAGAGGCTTCCTATAACTGCTGCAAATGCATGGCAGAGACCATTAAAGCAGATTAGGAAGTGAGTTAACCTGGATCCAGTGAATCCATGGCAGAGCTCAAAGCACATGCAGAGCAGATAGCTGAAGAATGTGACCTTAAGTGCAGGCTATACTATATTATATGCTTAATTAAACCAGCAGGAAACATTTAAAAAGGTCCTCATTTTGCAGAAATTTGCTGCACACATGCACACAATTCTGCACAATTGTTCCCATGCAAAGGTGATTCTTGGAGCCATGCTAGAAGTTGCTTCTCTGCTCCTACAGGCACCTGCAGTCTGTGCTGTTTCTGCTACAACAACCTGTCCCATACTCTGACCTCCACAACCTAGGGCTGGGAGGGAGAGGCAGCTGGTTGTGGGGTGGTGGTAAGTGTGCCAAGCCTGAGACTGAAGTGTATTATCCCCTGCCGCTGCCCTGTCTCCCTACTGATGGGGAGGCAAGTCAGGTGGGAAACAGGAAATGTTTTTGGCTCAGTGAAGGCAAGCTCAGAACTCCCGGCATAGCTGCCACCCCAACAGGCAACAGAGGCAGGCCAGCAATGAGTAGGTAGGTCAGCAACACTGGAAATTGCATGGCAGCCCAACACTGTTGCTGGCTTTCCCCCCTCTCTACTGAGCTTTCCAGTGCATTCAGAGGCGGCCTAGAAAGGATCAGAAGGAGTCTCTCAGTAACAGTACAATGCAGTCTCAGGCTGTTTTAACTTTGCAGATATCACCATGCACTGTACCTCCTGCATTGGAACAGCCTCCTGCAGTTGTTTCAGTGCATGTGCCTGCCTGCATGTGCCAACCAAAAAATCTGTACAAAGTAGTACCACTAGAGTGCTTTGATTTTGCAAAGGCTTTTTACAGTTCTAAGTAATACAGCACAGGAAACTACTCAATACACCTGCCTCTTTGGTATATTCATCCAGAATCCATTATTGCCCAGTTTGGATATAATATTCTCTGCTTACTAAACTGAGTTATGCATGCAACTTCTGACTTCGTGGTATGTCTTTGCACTGCCCTCCCCTTCCTAGATGCACCACATTTGAAGGTTTCCTTTGATAATTAACTACAGTTTCCTGCTATGTTTACAAAAGCTGGAAAAGAGAGTCTGAAACCATGGTGTGAAGTTGGGTTCAGATCCAGGTTTGTAAAAATAGTGGTCCTGCTTTGGATGCAACAGAAAACTATGGTTAATTGATACAGGAAGTATTCAACTGCAGCACACTGAGAAGGAAGGAAGGAGGGAGTGGGGAGGGAGGGAGGTACATGCATGAGCAAACAGTGTGCATGTCTCAGCTTAAGAAGCAGATATGAGTAATGTCTGAACAGGGCCTGTAAATTTCGTTACTCTGATTTGCAAAAGATGATGCTCTAAATGAGATGTAGGTGTGAAAACACTTATTTTTGCTTCAGCTGCCTCACCTCTTTGTAGCACATCAAATAGCAGGGGAATGCTGAGAAATATTTCCTAAACTTTTATATGTAAACATTACACAGGGAAGGATAGTGTGTCAAAAGTGTGCCCATCACAAATTTCTCCACCAAATGCATATTTTAAAAATGCTGGCTAATTGCTAAAGCACCTGAATGTATAGCTGCAACATAATGACAAATCCTTCCATTTTTTTAACTGATTTAGTGGTTTCAATGACTAGTTTAAATTTATCATTTCAGATACAATAATTGATTTGTAAGATGTTTGGAGCTTGTCTTTTATAAACTTGATTCTGCCTATGTCACAGGTACCTTTTCATTGTTTCATAAGCCTCAGACCCGATCCTCATGTTACAGTAAGAGCACACTTGTGCTTTCTCTATCATGTTTGAAGCAGGCACTCATTTTACAAGTTCATTTGTTGAATAACGTGCCAGGCAGCACTTATGACCCTCTGCTCCAGGGACCTGGACAGAACAATTATTTATAGTTGCTTCAAATATGATATTGTGTGTTTATGTAGTCATGTGCCTGCTCACCTGTGGTGAGCAAAATCACATTGACGGGACCAAGCTCTGACAAGCTGGGGTGGGGGTTTGCTTCTAAAATAAACCACTAAGAGACCTGACTATGGCTGTTACAGTCAACATCTATGGCATTTGTTGAACCTTTTTTAATCCATAACAGTATGAGAAGCCGCCAGGAATGGCCTAAGCTCTGAAGAGGAGAACGTTCTCCAAAATTCAACAGGTCCTATTAAAATCTGTTTAGTATGTCAAAGAGAGGGCAGGAAGTGGCACCTGGAAAACCAGAGAAAGGCCTCCTGAGGTAGCCTTGAACAGAAGAAGAGAGAAATATAGCACCATGTTCTGTAATATAGACAAGGGGGCCCCAGAGGTTTTTGAAGTGATTTCAATGCCATTACTGCAGCCAGGGAAGATTGCACATCCCACAGTCTCCAGCACTGCAAGACCTCAAGTCCCTTATGTTGGCTCTGACCAGTTCTGGCCTTTGCTACAAGTTCTTCATGCAGACTTGGCATCGACCAACTCGTGTCCGGAGCTGGCCTGCCTTCAGAGTCTCGGAGATGGTAAAGTCGGTAAACTGCTGGCTCTGCTCAACCGTCGTCAGCCAAAAGCTGTACTTGTTTGAGAAGTAGTGGCAGGTCCCTCGGGCACCATTACATTCGATGAAAGGGGTGGCACGGAAGTCTTCCAGGCAAGAGCCGGGGGAGACGAGGGACTGGCCGCCACCTTCAGCTCCAGCTGCAGTGTGCTATAAGAAAACAGTTTCGTTAAAGAAACTCCC